GTCATAGTTGTCTTTGAGTTTTCGTCGTTGGCGTCTGTGGTTGGATATCCGGTGAGCGTGGAGTCAGTTTGTGTTGCAATGGACCTGGTCTCAGTCTGTGTTCCAGTGGTGCACATTTTGGGAGGTGAGGTGTTTTTGGTTACAGCGGATGCGAAGGACATTCCAGATGTTGGTGTCTGCAAGGACATCTCCACCTGCTTCCTAGCCTCCCTGTAGTCCAAATTAGTCTCTGCTCTCACTCTACTGATCTCATACTCCCTCAGGTAGGAAGGGCACTTCCTGTCTGAGGCAGCATGTTGACCCGAACAGTGGTAGCATTTTTCCTCAGTTTGTGTGCAGTCATCTTCCCTGTGTCCGCTTTGAGCACATTTACAGCATACCTGGGTGTTACGGCAGGCCTTACCAGTGTGTCCAAACCTTTGGCAGTTGAAGCATCGCATGGGAAATGGAATGTATGTTTTCGTTTGGACTCTCTCATATCCTACCAATACATGGGTGGGCCTAACAAGTCCATCAAAAGTCAGTACAGCTGTGGTTGATCGTTTTCTTTCTCCCTCTGCGGTCCTCCTATTAAAGACGAAGGCATCGACGACTCCTTGATCTTTCATGTGGTACTTGATTTCGTCATTACTCATTCCCTGGAATTCGTAGCTGTTAACTACAGCCTTACAGGTATTGAGAAATGCTGGGATATACGGTTCCACTATAGTTGAATGAAAGGTTTTCAGATTCAAGACGTCCCTCATTTGCTTTGCGTCTTTAACAGTAACTTGGAGTTGGCCATTTCTTGTCTTTCGGACTTTCACCACGTCCACTATTTGATCTTTAATGGCCTTCTGGATAATGAACCCATTAATTTTGTCAAACGAGGTGGACGTGTCAACAGTCCGAAAGTGGATTACTCTGGCCTTCTCAGTTGAAACTTGAATGATACGTCTTTGTTGGATATTTTGGTCGGTGGTCGTTTCATTGTCTTTGTCTGTCATTGGTCTTGGCAGTCGTGGGTCATTGTGATTGGTCTCCCGCCTCTGCTTGTCCCTGCCTGGACGAGTAGAGGGGGGCTTGGTGTTTCCCCTCCCAGAGGGCATGGTTGGGGTGGCTGGGAACCACCCCTTGGGTACAGTTTTAGTTGTTTTTTTACATATACTGATGTTGGTGCACTAAGGTTATGTAAGGCCCTTAGTGAAAAAAAAAAAAAACACTTTTACTTAAGGGCGACCCGCGAACAGTGGTGTGCCTGCACGATCACAGACGTCACTGCTGGATTGGCCCAGGTTATTTCCCCGACCCCCACTGGAAACACACAATCCCACTCTGTGAGGTGTGCACCACTGGGGGGGCTCTAGCACGAATACCGAAGTATGGAAAAATCAGCAGGTGCCTCGGCCAGGGTAAGTGATAGAAAAAATGTAGTAAAGAGAGAAAGCCCTCCTACCACGTCAGGAAGGACAACAGTTAGCGCTTCCCTCGCAGTTGTGTGGGTCACTCACACTAACTGTGGGGACGGAATGCTAAGGTTGTCAATCCTGAGCGCTCGTGAGGTGTCAAAATTTTGGATAAATGACAGAGTCACTTTAAATATGAATTGCTGTTGAACAGCGAGAATCAGTGCATGCACACAAGATCCAGTAGGCTATGGCGTGTAGAAACCGTTACGGGAGAGTAGCTATTCCCGCAAGAACGTGAGTCTCCTCTGGTGTCTAGTCAGCCTCTGAACTTCACGGATGGATGGTATTGGGGGATTACTGGCCTCTTCGCCGTTAGGCTATTTCGGCCGAAGCTGATTGGTTGGACTTCTTCCTTTTCTTGTTTCTTCTTTTGCTTTTCAGTTTCCATTCTTCTTCCTGGTCTTCTTCTGGGATATTCTCATACACTTCTATAAACGATGTTAAAGATAGTGTAATGAAATCGGGTTTAATTGTTGTGATCTTGTTCTGGTCTTGCTTGTTCTTTTCTTGATTTTTCACTACAAGGAGGGCTTCCTTGTAGCTCAGTCTTTCCTTAGTCCGCAGCTTGGCCACCCTGCACTCCTCCCTCCACTTGGGACACTCCCGGTCGGAGGAGGAGTGAGGGCCACCACAAGCTGCGCACTTCTTGGCGGCCGCCAAGCAGTTGGCGTCCTGGTGCCCGGGTGTCCCGCAGCTTGAACACACCTCCCGAGCACGACACTTCCGCGCCAGATGGCCGTACTTCTGGCATTTGTAGCAACGAGTGGGTCTTCGCTGGTACGGTTTTACTGGGATCTTCTCCCATCCCAGCAAAACGGAGCTAGGAAGTTTCTTTGGGAAGCCAACCAGGGCAGCTGTACTGGTCAGCTTCCGAACTATTGAGAGCTGATCTCCGATCAGCTCGGCAAGTTCTTCTTTTTCGAGATGTTCGATTTCTGTGTGGGAGATGACTCCCAAAACCAAGTTGTCCTGTAGGCAGGCTTCAACTTGGATCTCGATTCCATTGATTTGTCTTATGTTTTCTAATTGCTGGGCCTCTCCCCATTCCGCGAAGGTGACGATAAGGTCACCGCTGTCACTGCGGACGACCCCTGTCACCCCCGTGATTCCCGAGGAGTCAAAAAACTTCCTCAGGACAAGGAGGTTGAGTTGCTTGCGCGAAGGGCGCTTGACTGGATACAGTCTAACGACCTTCGCCTGGTTGCAGGTGAACATGGTCACGCGGTACCTCGGGAGCAGAGAGAACCTACCTCGCCGAGGTTCAGTTCCGATGGATGCCTGGTAGTGTGGACGCTATGGAAAGACAGAGCATTACTTGTGGTGGAGGGTTTCTAAGGCTTGAGCTCGACCAATAAGAATGAAGCGAGCCCTGTCTACTAATGTAGCTGCATCACACTTGTAGACTCTGCAAATGAACTCTTCGGCATCGTGGACTGCTTTCTCACAGAGCTCACCTTTACCAAGTAATTGCAAGAAATTCTGATGCTCCTTGAAGACATTCCAACAGGACTTTTGGTGTGATCAGGCAAAAAAGATGTAGTGGCAGAGCCTGCCAAACCATGAAATGTAGGCAGTGCGCTCAACATACTAATATCAAGTTGAGCTGTAATGGTGTGGATTGGGATGTATTTTCTATTCTTGGATGTCCCGGACTTCATCCATACTTTCGAGCACGGTATCTTGCTGAAATGTGCTAGGAGGAGGACCAAGACGCCAGTGTCTTGAGCAGCAACAACAATGCTTGATGCTAGGCTTCTCATGCAATGTAAAATTATTCGAGTGTCAGCCTCTTCATGACGGGCTTCCAGATCTTCTGTGACAATGTCAGGGATTGAGGACTCCACCTGCTCCTGATTCTAAACCCACCAGATACTACAATAGTCTTGTTGCTTGGTGCTAGCAGAATCAGCTGACGGGACAAGAATGCTGCAAGGGCAATAAAACTCTCCCATTTTGGTGGAAGAGGCAGATCCCTATTCTGCACCTCTCTTCCCACTGGTACCGCTCCTTTACCCCGTATTTTTCTGGTTCCACTTTTGATTGAAGTTTCATAATACGTGTCAAAGATAACGTCTAAGAGACTGAATGATACTCCACTCTTCAAAACAGCTGCAGCGAATACATCTGCCAAATCCCCAAATGTTCTGGCGTTCTGTCGTTCCCCAACAGCTACCACAAGAGCCTGACCATTAATGATGAGCATTGCTTCTTCACTAAGGTCTGTTGCTTGCAGGCTTGGCGGGCAAGGTGTTTTGCCAATCATTACCTATGACAGATGCGTCTTTGAACCTGACCGGCGATCACCATTCATTTCTGCAATGGCTGGAGAGATGGGCATGAGCTCATGCTTCAGTATATCTTCAAGAATGACATCTCTTCCTGACTGGAAAGCAGTGATCAGACGTTAAAGGAGCTTTCTGTCTGTTTTGATGACTTTCTGTGGGCTAGTTGTGGATTTATTTTGTTTCACTTCATATAGAAAAGAAAAGGTCAGAGGTTTGTTCCTGGGTAAGGTGTCTCTGAACTTCACCTGTTTGCCACCACAAGGCTTAGGTCTTTCTTCAACAAATATGATCAGCTGCTCTTGTACTTACTGATGAGCCATCAGAAGGTCTTCTTCATTTTTTTACCTTATTCCATACACATATTTGGTTTCACTGGCGAGATGAGATCGAAGGTTTTGGTGATGCCGATGATACCACCACCTTTCTTCCCAGTGCCGATCAGTCATTCCTGTCTTTGATCAGGATCAACTTGATTAAACCACTGGTTTGACCGCTTCACTACAAAGTTCCCTTTATCAAAGTCGCCTTCACATCACCAGAATGCTGGTGTATCTCACTGATATACACTGTCCCCAGCGGGCATAATTTATGTGGTTATACCTTATGAAAAAAGGAGTCATCAACTGGAAGGCGTGCACAGTTAAAACCCGTAGATATTTTTTCGACCATACCCGTAAATATCGAGATCTGATCGAGCTTGTTTGCAGACCAAAAAGTAATTGAGTGTCACAGCAATATATATTTTTTTGCTTTGAGAGTACCGAAATATTTAATTTTCAGTCTTCACGTCAGCCATATTTTTCTATAGGTTGTCATGGGAAACTGGGGCATGATTAAGTTTGTAAAATTCAAGAAATGGTTTCAGCACACTCTAATCCTGTAGTAAAGTAGATTTGCCGACTCCTTTCCCGAAAATGCCTAGGGGTTCCTGTTTTACTGATATTGGAACCAATTTATTAAACAAGATAAATATTCTTCATACTCAAGAGGTCAAGTTGGTTACACTATGTAAGTGCTGTGATCCAGAATAACAAACCTAAGCTAACTTCGTGTATAATGGATGAAGTTATTTATGGTTGAGACTGATCTGAATGGTTCGTGTTTTCTGTCATAAGGGATTTTCCCGTACACAGTATACATACACGACTTTACAGCAAAATACCCTGAGAACTAGGTATCCGTAACTCAATTTTAACTGACATTCTTGTAAGATAAGCACCAGATCTCCTGCATCCTACTGTGAGATAAACACCGGGAAAGTACTTACGTCCTCTTTACGGCATCTGATCCACTGGGAGACGCCCTTGGCTGTGGAGAGGATGATTTTGGATACTTTGTTGATGGCCTCCTGCACCGCCTCCATACTGGGGGTGACCTGCACGCCAGGGGACACCAGGGAGGCACTCAGCTCTACCAGTGCCACGCCCTGAGTCTCTTCTGCCGCACCACCACGCATTCGGCTGTTGCATTCACCTGCACACAATAAAACACTGTATCTTGTCCATATACTCGCTGCTGCCACATTTTTTTTGTTATATTCGGACGGCAACCACCATAACCTCGCCTAAGGCAGAGGTTCCCAAACTGGGGTCCGCGACTAGATGAAAGAAAGCAGGTTGTTGTGAAAATGGTGAACTATGTAAAAGCACACCCCCTGAAACACGGACTATTTGAAACACTTTGCCACGAAATAGGTGCTGAATTTGAGGCTTTTTTTGCTCCACTCTGAAGTGCGCTGGTTATCGCGTGGGGCAGTTTTGAATCGTGTGTTTACCTTACGGAGAGAGTTGGCCGACTTTCTTTCATCAGAGAAGTCAGATCTTGGTAGCTGTTTCGAGGATGAGTCATGGATGATGAAGCTAGTATATCTAGCAGACGTCTTCCAGCATCTAAATGTACTAAACCAGAGCATACAAGGCCGTGAAGTATGCATTTTGAATGTGCATGACAAAGTATGTGCATTCACCCCAAAAAGTTTCCATGTGGGAAAGCAAACCCCAGGAAGGAGTCACTGAAATGTTCCCACTTTATCACCAGGAATGTATGACGTCCAGTGCAGACAGCATCACACTCCTTATTATTTCCCATCTGAACTGGATTAGAGACCCTTTTGCGCCCGGGGTAGGTGTACGTCTTGATCTGAAGTCGCAAGAGTAACTCATGGAAATGTCAAATAAAGGGTGGTATGAAAATCAAGTTCTCTGCCCTTTAACTGTCAGATTTCTGGATCTGCACAAGAAATGAATATCTTACCCTGCCTGAGAAGGCTCTGAAATGCCTTTTGACATTTACCACAATCTACTTGTGTGGGCAGGATCTTCTACACTCAAAGTACTGGAAACCAAGCACAGAGCACGCCTGCAGGTGGACAACGACATGCGTCTGGCACTCACTAATATCAAGCCTCGCATAGACAAATTGTGCAAAAGCCACCAAGGACATCCACCCCACTAGGCAGGATATGCCTGATAGCCTGATTTGTATTTAGTTATGCACTTTTTGATATGGAGGTAAATTTGTTTATTTTGGTTTCTGGTGGTGCCACAATATTGTGTTTGTGTATTGTGGTTGTGTTTATACATAATTTACATTGCTTTGATTTTAAAATAACAATAATAAACATGACAAGGAAAATTGGCTTCATGTAAGAATAAGTAAATATTAATATTTTTTAGCTGGGGGTCCTCAACTGGGGCTCATCATATTTGGGGGTCCTTGATATGAAAAAGTTTGGGAACTCCTGAACTAAGGTGGAATCAGCTCCGCCCACTGACTTTAACCCTAGATTTGGGTCAAATTAATAGGAAATGTAATTAAGCAAGCTATTGAGAATATTAAATTATAATTATTATTGTTATTATTATTATTATTAACTGGGGTACCTGGTGTTACCCGGGTCTTCTTTTGTCGAACTGATGCAGCCAAAAACGCTCATGAGCATTTTCGGGACTACTCGCATAAACCTAACCAAGTTTCATCTCTCTTTTAAAAAAACGCGACTATGCATAACAGAATGATCTCTGGGTTATTAATGGAATCCCCCGTTCCACCTTTGGGTGTGTGGGGGCCGACCACTGGAGCCACTCACCCAAAATTACACATTCATGAAACTTCTGGGGTTACATGTACAGTCTCGTTCAAGATTCTTCGAACACTGCTGGAGACAGCTGGCAACTCAAGGCCGTTTGTTTACGATAGTACGTAGTAAAAATTATGAATGAATGTAAAAGATTATCGGCGATTGGTTACTTAGTTCCCTGTTGCTTAATTAATGGTTGGGCTTTGTTGTTTCGTATTATATTATACTACGCACTATAGTAAACAAACGACCTAAGTTGCAAGCTGTCTCCAGCAGTGTTCGAAGAATCTTGAACGAGACTGTACATGTGTACACCAAATTGAATTTGCCGTGTATAACGAACAGACAAAGAGAAATGTAGTGTGCTTTATATAATATGCTTGTGAACATTTTCAGGTCTATTTAGATAGGCGTACACCCGATTACACCCTTCAATAGCTGCACCACACTAAATTTCAGTTCTTTATGTTAAAAAGGGCGTGAAGCCAAAACAATAGAAACAGACATATAGAGACACTATTAAAGAGGGCAGGGGCCCACCTTTATAATTAAAGGGGCAGTTCATCCCCTATGTCCATCTTTGGCTAAAAATAAGTGCATTTCCAAAAGAATACCCAAACGCTATTTCAGCTCCCTAAGTTATAAGCTATGGTTAGGCACAGGGAAGCCCACTTTTAAGTAGGAGTAAGCCCAGCAGGGCATACCCCCTCCCCCTATCACTAGCAAGTCTACGGACTTGGCGCACCCTCATTCAATACAAAGGCTGCAGAGCATTCTTGAAACTATTCACTTAAATATACCAAATTTCTGATCTAATTTTTTACAAACAAATTACAGCTTTCCCGCTTCAAAACTGTAGCCGTGCATGACGAACATTCACCCTAGTCTAGTTTAGTATTTGCTGAGAATACCTCTGTGCCTCTTTGAGAGCTGAGCTGGAGCAGGTGAGTGCAAGATGCTCGCCAAGGTTCGTTGTGATGGAGATTGGGAGGATGAGCTTGATGCAGTACTTAATGTAGGCCTCCACTAGTTCACCCCGGACAACCCTGTCATTAACATTTTGGGTGAGTCGGAGGTTCTCGTGGACAAAGCAGCGGAAAGATTATGCGCCATAGTACACGCGGGTGTCAAGGAGGAAGGTCATCTTGATAATGACCAAATATTGAGGAGACCTTAGTGAAGTAACTTTTGAAAGTACATGTGTACTTTATGTGTAGTGAGTCAGCTCCTCAATGTCGCCAAGACCACTGAGACATAAGTGGCCATAGTGGTCATCACAACACTGGAGGAGTTGGTCCAGCAAGACCTCGTGGTCTCTATGCCGGTCAGCACTACTAATCATAGGATTACTATGAGATTTTGGATATAAAATTAACATTTAAACCTGACGTTATACTCAAACCTTCCCATCGGGCAATGGGACAAATGAACTTATTTCTTGCCAACCTAACTCAAGTTTGTTGTGAGCCAAATGTAAGTGATGTATTGAAAGTAAAATCCATTGATCGTGCCATTATGTGATTATTAATTAAGTGAGTCAAATTTATGCGAGTTGGTAACAATCAATAGCGAAAAAAGGATATTTTCTTCCACTCCTGATACGAATTGTTTTATTTTTCACCATTATCATCGCGGTTACAGGGGAAAATATGAAGGGGTTCACGGGGTTTTTCAAGGTTCCCTAAAGGAGGAAGATAATGAAGAAGGTTGGGAACCACTGCCATAAAACATTAGTGAGGGAGTTCCACTTTTTGGGTGGGAGATTATCACTGGGACCAACCACCAAAATTCCACCGTCATAACACTCCTGAGCTACATGTACTGTACTGTACAGTCCCGGACGAAAGTTCTCGCTATAGTCAAGATGGAGGGTGCAAAGTTCTTTCCCAGGGGCGGATACAGGAATATCAAAAGGGGGGGGGGTACAAGAAGTTGTGGGTGGGGGAACACGGCGAGCACAGCGAGCCAACCCATATGGGGGGGGGGCAAAAATTTTTGTGAAATCTGACCAATATCAAGGGCATTTTGAGGCCATTTTAAAGCCATGTGCACATGATATTAGGAGAAATTCTGATATCAAAAGTTATTTCTTTTTTGGTATACAAAAATGCCTGAGTACAATACAGCATTAAAGAAAAAGTATTGGAATTTTCTCATGAAAAGGGGAGTTCGGACCCCCAGCACCCCCCTGGATCCGCCCCCGTCCCCACCCTTATTGGACTGCGGGTCGTTGTCAGTGATACCACTCGTAAAAAAACAAAGTTTACCAGATTCGTGTATGAATCTTTCCAGATCGCAAAAAAATATTTCTAGGTATGACAAAATTATATCCAATTGCAATTAATTTAAATCTAATCAATATAATTCTACAAAATGTACAAAATATATAAAATATACACAAAAATCAAACGAAAATCGACATTCGGCATTGTGTATTACAAACGCAAAGATTTTACTTAATATATAAGTAAGTAGAGCTATTGTAGTGGGGTAATAGTTTAGTGTAGCCTATTGAGTATATAATTATACATGTTGCTTTTGCACTGCAGTAACTAAGAAAATATATTAAATATTTCCTTCAAAATGAAAGAAAGAAGAAGAAGAATATTCACGTTGTTTTGAGCTGCGAAATTGGGGAGACAGGCTTTTGCTCACCTCTGATGAGAAACACCAAGATATTTGGAAACAAGTAATGTATACAGATGAGAAGGTTTCCGCAGCACTTTTCGTGGCCAAATTCATTGCTGGAGACACAATAATACAAGTTAAGATGTTTACAATATGTTAGGTTATACAGATGATTGTTATGACAGCAAATGATAGGAGTTTTACTATAAAGAACAGCAAATAAAATAAAGGGATTCACAAAAGTTTTATATCACTTCATAATGCACGGAAGACTTTATACAGTATATTATCTATCAATAAACATTAACTAATTGTTACTCTGTTATGCTTGCAGGTATGACAGGTCTAACATATTTGAAAAGGCTCATTCTGGACACGTGACCTGCAATGTCTGGGCTGGGTTTCACATCATGGCGTGGGTGATGTGTTCCAGATTAAGAGAAGCCCATTTTATTTATCCAAGACCAACTGCCCACGTCGGTCAACAGTGGTTTGAGAGGCAGGACACAAGAGCTCCTAGAATGATCCAGCAATGGAGCAGATATTAACTTTATAGAGCACATGTGGCATCCATGCCGAACAGGCTACAGGCCATCTTTGAAAGGCAGGGCTGTTGGACTGATTACTGATTGAATCATTTTGCTGAGAATAGATTGTTTGAATCATTGTTTTATTTGTTTAACTGTAAATTTATCTACAAAGATAGTGGGTGTACTATACATATAATGTTAAGTAGGCAACATTTACGGTTACCTATAGAGTATAACTAATATTAAAATGTGGTTATGCAGCTTTTATCTTAGTTTTCCATCAAAAGCTAATAAATCGGTGATGTGGCCGACTTCTTGTTGTGACACACTTTTATATTATTAACATAGCAATGATATCCTTCCCTAGTCCTGATTGAGAAATTGAAGTAACAGAGCTTGATTGTTGAACTGTGAGGGTGTTTGTTTGTGCGTGTGTGTCTGTGTGTGTATGTTTAAGGAGGGACGGGGGGGGGGGGAGAAGCCATGGGTGGAGAGAGGACCCTTCGTCCAGTTAGGGTAGGCGGAATTTGCAACATACACCTTGATTGTAGCGAGAACTTTCGTCCGGGACTGAACATTAACAAGTCAAATTTCAACTCTATCATCAAAACTGTCCAACATAGTGAACATTCACATAAACAAACACACAAAGAGACATTGTGTTCTACATTTATAAATATTTTTAATCATTATCACTCACACACATAAACACACTCACTTTGAGCTCGTGGGGTGGTGACGGACATGTGCTTGCGGATGGAATCAAGAGCCCCGCGGACAGACTTAATAAGGACGTCGAGCACACGGCGATGGTATACCCTCCTCAGGTCTCTTGCCGCTGACTCTACCTGTTGGAAAATGCATTTAATATGACGGTATGTGTAGAGAGGAACTGATGTTTATATCGTGTCAATATGATGAAAAGAGTATATATGTACACGTTAAAGGAGGGTGTAGTGTGGGGGTGTGAAGATGTACAATTAGTATATTCTCACGCGCGCACACACACACACACATGAGTAACATGCCATCGCAAGAATGTTATTTAATTTAGTTATTTGCAAAGGTATACCTAAGTATAAGATAATAATAATGATATAGGAAATCAATATATTCATAACTCATAGTAGGTTTGAGACTTTGATACGACGTAGTTTCTCAGGCCTCTCTAAAATCAACCCCATATGTTACGATCACGTGGTCATGACTGTGAAAATCTCGTGAATATGAGGCGTCGCTCCCCAGAGCCGCAGTGTACGCCTCAGTTCGATCTGTCACTGGCCGAGATACGATACAGACATACTCGTCTCGGCAGGCTCTGTGCATAATATTGTTAATACAGGGAAAACCACTGCATAAGACTATAATTCATCTCTTCTAAAGTTGAAGAGGAAAATGAAGCAGAGTGTGTTTGAAGTTGGACTATGGTGATCACCGTGACCAGGAAGAAAGAATAATTACCAATCTAAGCTCTGCTCGGACTCAGAAACTAGTCAAAATACTCAGAGGACAAACAGTTATACACACGCGCACATATGCACGCATGCATGCACACACACACATGCACAAGCGCATGCACACACGATTGCTGATAGCCCCAAAGAAAAAACCACGAAGGACTGGTGTAGGCAAGGAAGGGCGAATAGTATTGTTTGTGAAAATAAACGTGCGAAAAAAGGAAGGAGTCGTACTATATAAAACAAAACATATGAAAATGGTTAAAGAAACATGAATAAAGACAGCTGTTACCAAGGACTGAAAAATTCAACTTTATAACCATCAATCTTATAATGACAAATATCAACACACTACCTTCTCCCGCATCTCCTTCTTCTTCTTAGCGGCTTTCTCCTGGGGGGTGAGTGGCTTGGTGGGCAGCTCTAGTGTGGTTGTGAAAGTCCCCTCCGCTACTGGCACTGGACTACGGCGGGAGGAACCTCCTCCAGACGACACTGTCAGTTATAAACTGTGTTACGGCCCTGGGTTTCAGGCAGGTGATTTTATTACAATGTACGTGTAATTCATTATAGTGCATGATGTGTACATAACTAGTATATTAAGGGGGGGGGGGTTACATTTCTATCAGTTTCACTTCAGCGCAGCAGGAGACAAGATTGGACCAATACAGTCAGATTCCGGCGAGCTACCTCATTACGACAGAGAAATGAGCAATATTCAGAACATACTGTACAGTAAATTTTTCATCAGTTTTCACAACCGAAAACATGAACATGATACCCGAGGCATCGACTACCTACAGAGATAGTGAGGAAAATAATTTAAGCGAGATAGTAGTGACTAGTAACGATGTTAGTAAGCAAAGAGATAAACTAAAACCCAAACCTACTAAGTCACCAGGTACCAATGAGATATTTGCCAGAGTATTAAAGGAATGTAAGGAAGAATTTAGTTACCCTTAGCAAACTTGTTTACCATGTCATTATAAACGGGTGTAGTACCAGAATCCTGGAGGATAGCGAATGTAATACTGATTTTCATGAAGGTGGATATCTAATACTATTCTCTAACTACCACCCAATCAGCTAAACATCAATTGTAGGCAAATTGCCGGAAGCTATAATTTCATACTCGGTTCGAAATCACTTCGAGAAACACAAGTTGATCAATGATTCCGAGCATGGCTTCTCAAGTGGGAGTTATGTCTGACAAAAATTTTATTCTTTTTACTGTACATTTCCATAGACATGCCATTCCAATGTGGCGGCTGTCTCTCATTCACCTCATGGACATCTGCTACTATTGGATCAGCGTTTATTAGTACTACATTTTCAGGTTGAGTAGACTCACTGCTATCATTTAGGGTATCATAAGGCGGTTGGGTCCCGGCGATATCCACTGTGGCCTCCTGTGTCGGCTCCCTGCCATGTGGGTTCCGACAATTGTTTCCCTTTCAGCAAACCACACATGGTCGGTTGTTTCTCGCACAATCACAGCTAGCGCAATTTTGGTTCTGGCTAGCACAAACGCAGCAATGTCTGTTACCCGGCATAGTGTTCCGCACCTTGGGCGACAGTTACGTCCGCCTCCAACATCTGCTTTGGTCCCATACAGGAGAAAAAACTAGTTCTTATGAGGAAAGGGCAGAGAGGTGACAGGCTGGACTGCTGTGTCCGGGTAGTAGGGGCATATGTGCGCGCGTGGGTGTGTAAGCCACCCCCGTGGGTGAAGTTCCACACATCGGAACGATACACTGGGAGCAAGAAATTGTCACCCCTAAGACTTGTTTATATATCCTTGGCAGAAATAACTACTATTTCTATGGTCGCACTGATGTAATATTAGTTATATAAACTCACTTGGTCGGCCGACACTACATGAAGTGACCGTTACTTGGGGGAGGCGACCGCAAGCCTAGAACACTCGGCCCCATAGGGGCGAGAGCCTCGATGCCACCCCTGCCAAAGTAAGCCTATCGACACTGGCACTGGCACCTGGTACCTGCACTAGTCGTCCCACATTGGTTTGGAAAAAGAGTAGTGGATGAATAGAAGTTACAAGTTAACGAGCATCATCATTAACTTGACCACGCTGGGTAAGCTTCAAATATAGGTTGGTCAGACATATGAGTGAAAGGGTTGGGTGTAAACAGGGCCACCTAGTATGGGCCAATAGGCCTACTACAGTTTCCTCCATTCTTATGTTTTTATGTGTCTATCACCCTAAGAGATTTACTGTCTGACCTGAACGAGAGTCTTCGAGGTCGCCACCGTCGTCGAGGTCCTCAGCGGTCAAGAAGCTGGTGTTGTCGTGACCTGGTGTCCCTCCCTCCACACCCACCAGCACTAGCTCGATTAACTCCAACACCGCGTCCTCCACCACCCGACTTCTGCTGTTGAGCTCCTGGTGGGTGAAGGCAGAGAGTGGGTGAGGTGATAGATGGAGGGAGGCTAATGGGTGAGGTAATAGGTGGAAAAAGGACAGCGTAGAAGGTGGTAGGTAAAATAAAGAAAGTGGACGGAGTGGCATGAGGGGGTGCCGGGAGATAACTGGCCTACACATACAATATACAGACAAGTATATATTTGACATGTCACTTCTTGTCCATCTTAAAACAAATAAATTTATTTTAGGAATTTGTATTAAAAAGTCTCCTGCTTCTATCCTTCATTACATATTATACAGCCTGGCACCAGCTAAAGTAGCAAGATGTCAGTCAAGTGGGCTAGTTGTTGGTAATATCACCTGGACACCAAGCAGCATGTGAGCCAAGTGGGTAAAAGGCAATAGCTAAGCCAGTTGTTGGTAGCCTCACCTGTGCAGCCTGGCAGCAAGTGAGCCAGGTGTTGTGGACGAACAGCTCGAGAGTCCATGGTGCGGTGTCTGGCAGCACATAGAGCCGCACATTGGTCATCGCCGCCAGAACACCCTCCATCCGGTGGTGGAAGATGTCGTTCACCCTAACCAAAAAACACAATGCTTAGCCACATTTTGGTAAATAAAATGGTCTTCTAAAGCTTAAGGCATAAAACACAAAATATTATTGTTAATCTTTCCTCCTCAAAGGATTCAAGAGATTGAAGCATAAATCATCGTCCTTGAAGCGTTATAAATACCTAACATTCATGACACACCCGTGAATAACTGCCAGTACTCTTATATTAAGTGTGTATGCAGGATTGGTTGATTACCTGTCAATAAGCACCTCGAAGGTTCGCACCGCCTGGAAGCCCTGGTCAAAGAAGCTGTGGGCCTGTATAGAGGACCAGGTGAGTGATGTGAGGAGCGGGTCAAGGGCGTCCTTAAGCTTGTTTACATGAGGCACAAGTAGGGGCGCTAGGCTCTTGCTCACCTTCCCCAGCACACGCCCGTGTTCGTTCAGGAGATGCTGTCAACACACAATATTACGTTCCTCGGGCAGATATTTAGGAATAAATTGATGGTGTGACCAAAATGTCAAATTAATACCACAAGATACACAAGTTTTACTGATGTTTGTGTTCGTTCAATAAACACTGAAAACACATAGTGTTCTGCACATAATGTAAGAATACATAATTTATGAAGTAAGTGTAACAGAGCACCTGACCGCGGCCGGGGGTCTCGATTTATTTTTACATATGCATACACTGGGTGCAGTGTCCATAGATGGTTACGATATGTTGCATTGATCAAATAAGTATATCTATTCCTGTAGCCTGGTGTGTTATTAACTTTGCCCAAGAGAAGCTTTCATACAACTTACCATGTAGATGAGACTTCAAACTCAGTAATGTTGTGTATATCTAAGATTTCAATGACAAATGAGTAAGATTAAAGGGGACTTGGTGGACTTTTCTTCCTGATGCATTTACATTACCAGGAAAATTTTCTTGTTTGCGGGCACTTGTGAAATTACTTCCTCAAAAACACGCTTAAGAATATAAATATCAAAATTAATAAAGCACCGGTGGTGTAGTCGTCAATAATAACCATATCGATGTTAATCGATTTGCGGATCGTGTTCCGGGCTAATGGTTGGCCAGTGCAGTTGGCAACTTGTCCGGTCTTCTCAGATTATACCTTGACACCGGGTCATGCAACTTGTTAACTTCGGGTGTGGTTGTCGTGTTGGTAACAGCTAATACACCTTAAACAAATTGACGCTAAGGTGGCCCTAAGGTCAGCCATTCTCGAACGCGAGGGGCAACCAAAATTATGTATGTATGTATGTACTGTACACAAAAATATACAATTCTTCATTCAATGAACCTTACCTTGACCATGTCTCGCTTTTTCAGAAGTAAAGGCGCCCTGTTGAGGAGGAGCTGGGTCATATAGGGTACGTCGAGGCTGAGCTGCTGTATCTTGGTGGCCTCATGCAGAAGTGTGGAAATCCTCGGGTCCCAGTTCACGTAAAGCTCTTCCGTGTCAGGCCGCCGCACCACCAGTGTACATCGCAGTGACTTCTGGATGTCGTTCATCTGTAGGAGAGTTCCAACCACACCTTACTTTCTTAACTTCCCTATGGTGTGTGTGTGTGTGTGTGTGTGTGTGTGCGCAGTATGTGATAATGAAACTGTGTTTGTATATGTGTGTAAGTGCGTCCGCATGTTTGTGTGTGTATGTGTGTTAGGGATACTGCATTTGTGTGTGTTTGTGTGTATTTGTGTGTGTGTGTGCGCATGTTTGTATGCGTATGTGTGTTAGGGATACTGCGTGTGTGTTTTTCACTGATATTAGTTATTGTGAATACTGTACATGATTGCTATTTGTCTTGGATATCTCTTATCACTTCCTAAAAGGTTCAGTGAGGGCCATCCCTCGTGGGTCCAATGTTAGTGTCATGTTCAGTAGTGTTATAATTGATACCATCCTTATCATACCCTACCCAGGCAGGAATAGAATGCTGTACTGGGTGGTACTGATGAGAGTCAAGCTCGCTACCAATGTGCTACTGACAGATCCAATGTTAATGAATGACATTTATGTTTCTCCGTAATGACTTTCAATATTATATCAGAGCATTGTTTCTCTTCGTTAGACTCACATTGACTCCTTCTGACAATTAACAAACTGGAGGACTTACACTCTGCTTCCTCCAAGCGTCATAGTAAGCCAGTTCATACTGCACTAGAATCCTTCCTATGCGGTTGTACTTCTTCACTGCCTCCTTGCCCTCGGGCATCTTCAGTAGCATATGATGATCCTTGAAGAACATCATGGGCTCTTCCAGGTGCAGGAACAAACTCCGTGCCCACTGAATCTTTCCTGTGAGGAGGAGATATGGCCTCGGCTGTGAGGTGGTACAGGGTTATAAGTGTGAAAGTATAACGCCAGTCACCCCTTGGATAATTATGCAAAATTTCCCCCCCTCCCCCCCAAAAAAAATCTAAAATTGGCCAATCAACGTTTAAACTCTAACTCCTTTTATGCATCCCTAGTAAACGTGACGGCTGGAAGACGTTAATAGTTGCTATGTATGTTGTGCCACCACACTGGTGAACTCAGACCCAAACTTGCACTTTCCTTTTTCTTTATATTTTAGGTGAAACTTTTGTTTGTTGACAGTTATCAAAGTTTAAAAATAGGTGGAACAATTGAAATAACTTTCGGGTCCCTTACTTACATCACCCCAAACAAAAAAGTAGAAAAATTTATTCATGATGTTTCTCACTAATAAAATGAAACATCATCTACACAGTGATTCACATCCCCTTGTAACAATAATGGTCAAGATGCACTTTATAATAATGTTTGCTTGATTTTACTGGTCTATAGGGTAGAAGTGGGCGAATCCATCAGTTTTCATCTATATAATCAGAGGAGATTGGCAACCGGAAAAAAAGGGTAATAATTTTTTTTTTTCGAGTGTCCCTAATAGTAAGTGGAGTACGGGGGTTTGAGAGGGCACAATGCTCGCCTCCTGTTCCAGGGGTCGGTAGTTCGATTCCCGGGCGCTCACAGTTCACCCAGTTGTAAGTGGGTACCTAAGTTTATAACATATAGGGAAGTGAATGCTGTCGACAATAGTACCAACTATGCTGCCTCCTTGTTTACCAAAAGCTTAGTATACAGTGTACTGCATCCACACTCTCCCTAACGGGCAGTTATGCCTATGGAATCTACTTTCACTTCTTCAATGGTAAATCCTTTTAAAGGTATATGATTACCAATAAAACTTTGCAGATAGAAAGAGTACATTATCATTCTCTAAAGCCTTGCTCGACAATGGGTCGTTTAACATCCCATCGTTGAGCTGCTCTCTGAAATTACAGTATGTCCTACAGCTGGATCCTCCAGTCAATTAGTGTTAAACCTTCTTCTAGAGGCTTGATGTCTTTGCCGATGAACTGTGTCACAGTGGCCTGAGCCACGCATGGCTCAGGTGATGACATTTCAGCGATCTCTTTCTCTGAAATGTTGTAGTCAATGAGATGCCAATGTTTGGATCGTGGGTGTTGCCAAGAACCCTTGGGCCTTGGACGTGTCGGTCTGTCTAAACATGGTGTTGGTGGCATTGAGGTTGTGCTCAGCACACTTGCTGAGGAGGAATAGGCCATTGGGATTACACTTGCCTACTCTGTTTCTCCCTATGGTTTCATGCCATATGTCAGCATCTCTGCCAACTCTGGCATTGAAGTCACCAATGAGCACATCCTTAACTTCTCTGGGAATAGAGGTTAGTAACTCTTTCAAGGTCGGCATAAAAAGCCTCCTTGATGTCATCCTCTGCATTGATGAAAAAGGCATGGCGTGAGTGAGTCAGTGGGACTTGGAGCGTCATGTGGCGCTCGTTGACCCCCAACAGGCATTTCAGTTAGCCTATGTAGGATGGACCGGAGAATGGCAAAGCCAACTCCATAAATGCAGTTTCTCTCTGCAGCAGGTTTACCCTTCCCGAAGAAGGTACACTCAGACCCCCGTTTTGTGAGTCGACCCTCGTCTGGGAGCCGGGACTCACTAATGGCTATGTCGATGTTATACCTAGACAGCTCTTTTGCTACAAGGGCGGTTCTTCCTTCAGGACGCTCATCTGTGCCAGTACACAAGAAGGGTCATGACATTCCATGCAGCGACCTTAATAGGTTGGCTAGTTTGTTTTTGCTTTGATCCGTGATTGTGATTATGTTTTCGACTGCATAAGGATGACCTTACTGCGTGCAGTTGCCCAATCAAGTTGTTCTTTTAGGCATGCTCTGTTTAGGGCATCTTTTCTACCCCCCTCCCCAGGTGGGGTGAGCAGAGTGGCTCCTGGTAAGGCTGATCAGTCGCACACGCGAGACCGGATTGCACAGCTGCCTACATCCTAGTGCATAAACGACCATCTTATCTGTGCCGTCCATGTGCACAGTTGTGACTAGAGACTCCCGGTAGTCATCTCTGCCTGTCCATGTCGCCACTCGTCTGTTGCCATAGGACTTTAGGGGGTATAGGGGATTTGATGATGATGACAAGTACGATGAGCTGCATGATAGTGGGAAGTGAGTTGATTTATGTGGTGAGGCAGGGGTGCAGACTGCACCACACATCTTGGCTCTCCCTTTTCCCGATCCAGTGGTGCAGGTGGTTGCAACGATTGGGGAAAGGGAGAGATGCAATGGACTGCCGATAGCTCAGTTTGTTGGGTTTCGCCTTAGTAGCCTGTCCATCTTGCATTGCCTTCATCTGCCTGTGTAGTCGTTGGGTTTCCATGTTAGTCACCTCTTCCGCCGTTGGGGTCTTACTGGAACTCTGTAAGCATATTTGCCTGATACGGGGCTCCACCGCAGATTTTCGTACGGGGTTTACTCCAGTAGTCTTATACCTGCCAAGGTTAGTCCGCAAGGCAGCGGGCAATGGCTGGTAGGCCCCAGAACGTGTCCACATGCCAGTGGGCCTATGCGCCGTCCCTCTGGGGCCCACTGCTGCTCCGAGATCCCCTGCCGGTCTAGCCTGGGCCCACGAGGCACCCAGTTACCGTGTGTTGCCACAAGGAGGCACAGCAGGAGCCTTGATGGTGAAGAGGCTGTGTATTGGCAAGGGAAGACTTACGTAAGTTGCTTCCCTGCTCGCCACGAGGGCTGGCCAACGGCGGCAGCTGAAAGCGAAAGGGAGCAAGCAGTGCTTGCACCTTAACACTAACATAGTGCTACCACACTAAACGCATTTCACCACCCTGTGTGCAAGACGCACGCACGCACACTACTACTTATACTACTTTGCTGTCACTCGGAATCGTGTATGACGATCATCCAGCTATGGTAAAATTATATGGGTTATTATGGATGTCACCTAGGTTAGTGAGTTTTCAGGTGACTAAAGAGCCCGATACGGGACCGGCAGCGTCGTCCACATTCGTTGCACATGTGGAGGGCTGTATCTAGTGCGGGAGGGGCGGTGGCAGCGTCTTTCCGACGTTGGCGCTTATCTGTCTCGGTTTGCAGTCGGGCTAACTCGAAAGTATTGAAACCTTCTCGTGTGGTGCTCCTCCAACCGTTACGATGTGGAGTAATCGACTCCCAGGTGAGGGGGTCGATTTGGCACCTTTCAAGTTTGTCTTAAGACTATCCTTATACCTTTTCAATTGACCGCCAGCGTTACATTTACTATTCGTTAGGTGACTGTAAAGTAGCTGCTTTGGCAGTCTACTGTCTTCCATGCAGGTAACATGGCCAGTACAACGTAGTTGTTCTTGGATAATGGTAGCTTCGATGCTCCTACAGTTGGTGTCACCAAGAATGCTGGCATTTATTCTCTTGTCTTCCCAGCGAATTCGGAGGATGGAACGTAGACAACGTTGGTGAAAGTTTTCAAGTGACTTGAGGTGCCTCCTGTATGTGACCCATGTCTCACTGCCATATAGTAGGGTGGGCAGGACCACTGCTCGATATACGTGCAGCTTTGTGAATAATTTCAGCTCCCTACAGCTGAAAACACGATTTCAGAGTCCGCCCAAGGCTTGAGATGCACATCTGATCCGATGCTGAATCTCTTCATCGATGTCTGTGGTGGCGAACAGGTGGGAGACGAGATACCGAAAGTGGGCAACATTTGAGAGTGTAGTACCGTTAAACTGGATGGATGGTGGAGGTGTGACTGAACCAGGGGCAGTTTGAAAGAGAATCTAAGTCTTACGTATACTATTCACCTCAAGGCCGAAGTATGCATACGCGTCTGCGTAAGTGTTCAGGATCTCCTGTAGGTCGTGTTCAGTGTGAGCAACAATGGTGAGGTCGTCTGCATACTGAAGTTCAGTAATGGAGGCTGCCGACACCTTTGTTCTTGCTTGGAGTCGTCTTATGTTGAAAAGTCCCTTCACCCGGTACTCGGTGTTCACCCCGCCGGCTAAATTGGCACTGGAACGAGGAAGGTAGCCAAGAAGATGGAAAAGAGGGTTGGTGCCAGTATACACTCTTGTTTAGCCCCTGTTTGGATGGGGAAGAACTCTGACTAGTTGCCGTTATTCAGGACACTGCCGTTCATGCCGTCGTGGAGTTACCTCACAATGGCGATGAATTTTGGTGGGCAGCCAAAACGGCTGAGGGTCCACCAGAGAGCTTCCCTGTTGACCGAGTCGAAGGCCTTGGTTAGGTCGATGAAAGCCATGTACAGGTCACAACGCTGTTCTCTGCACTTTTCGTGTATCTGGCGGGCAGTATAGATCATGTCAGTGGTGCCACGTGATGGTCTAAAACCACATTGAGATTCTGGGAGAAAGTTTTCCTCTTCAGGAAGAAGTCTGTTTAGGAGGACTCGGGCGATAATCTTGCCAGCTGCGGAAAGCAGAGAGACCCCCACAGTAGTTGCCACAATCTGACCGGTCCCCCTTGTTCTTATAAATATTGACAATGGAAGCATCTTTAAGAGCTTGGGGGATTTCACACACACACATCAAGCGTAAATTACAAAACTAGCGAACCTTGAATATTAAAACACCTGAATCTGCACTCCTTTGCGATATATAAAAGTGAGGGGCGATATGATCTAGGTGTATAATTAATGAAAGACAGGGTTAAACAAAAGTGATATAACAAAGGTACTTAAACTATCTAAGCAGGAGGAAACACATAGCAATGGTTTTAAATTGGATAAATTTAGATTTAGGCATGAAATAGGTAAATATTGGTTTGGGAATAGTTTTGTGGGTGAGTGGAACAAATTACCTAACAATGTCATTAACGCGTGCCCGTTAGGTGTAAACGGGCTGCCTCGTATGCACCAATAGGTCTGCTGCAGTTTCCTCCATTCTTATGTGCTTAGGGTTTTAGGCTCCTGTCTGTTGGGCGCGCACTTACATTGCGTTCCAACTTTGCAATCATCGTTTTCCCACACAAACGGATCTTGACTTCTCTTTCTGGCACACCCACGACTTTCACCAACACTGCCAGTCTCTGGTGAACTCATTGCCACTTAAAATATTATTTTATGCAAAAAAAAAGCAAAATCATAGACATCGTCTTGGCTTACTTGCCCAGCAAAGCATTAGATTCTGTGGCGCTGATTGGCTGTGAAAAAGAAAAAGTGTAACCCTGTGCTCATTGGCTTGCTCGACGTATTCGAAACTGAGGGTCTTTTAAATATCTTCCCTTATTCCATATATCTTTCTTACTCTTCTTACTTCATTTTTCTTTCTCTTCATGGACAGATGTACACTGGAGTTATTTAGGCTAAAAATATGATCATGTTAAGTCATTAAATTACCAACATCTTACTTCCATCTTCTCTTCGTCACACATCATGATTATATTCTGCTAAGGTGACCCAAGCGGTGTAAGTAATTAATCAAAGATTATTTTCAGTCTAAAATAACTTATTCATCTCATTAATTTACAAAGTAAATTATTAGGAAAACAGTATGATGAGTCTTCAAAACTCTGGGTGGGATGGAAGTGGTATTTAGCAACTTTAAATAGCAATTATAGTTCATGTTGCAATCAAACCAATTGTGTTCTAATAAAATACTCTTCAAGACTTTAAGTTGTTTAACGGAAAATTTATAGTTATAATTGATGTTTCAGTACACACTCAGTGTTATATTAGAAACATTTTACAACGAATGAATAAGATAACTAAGAGACAAAAAGAAAAAATACTCGTAGCCAATAATGTAAGAACCAAAAGAAACTTAAGAGTATTATGGACAGCAATATACTCTATGGTGTCCAAAAAGGGTATTTTACATGACACGGGGTATTTTGCAGTAATTATATATTTTTTGTCTAAAATACCTTTTTTGACCCAACAACTTTTACAGTGTGCTGGTGCAAATACATATTTATGTTTCTACTGTATATATGAAACCATAAACCCGTCAAATTTTATACTACATATTTCTAAGGAGAGTGGGAGCCAAATAGCCCTGAATCCAGATTCTGAACAATTCATTTTTGTCTACACTACTGCTGCGATAACACGTAGTATTGGCTCAATTAAGACAGACACAAAGGTCACAACTTAAAATACTGCAAAACTGCAATAAGATATCATAGAATTTGTTCCATACTCTCCTATCTTTATTAAGGAAAATATGAAGTACGAATCTTTGAGAACCTGGGTGGAGTAGTGGTGTTAATGAAGATAAGAGTTACCAGCGACAGGTGGGAGGCCGCGGAGCTGAGGCGGGTTCTCACACTGGCGGGAGTAGATGCGGGACACCTTCTCCAGCTCCTGGTGGAATCGCGCCAGGATCCTCTTGTACTTCCCTTCCACGTCCAGCTGCGGCACAACCTCGGCGATCTTCTCAAACCTATAGTAGCATATAATTAGCGGTCAGGTCAAATAAGGACAGGTGGTACTCTCTCGTATGATACATATCGAGTACAATGCATAGATCTAGGAAAAATAACGTGACAAATTCACCACAAACGATTGCAAAGAAAACACCCATTATTGTCCATAAAACTGTGTTATGTGATTAAAATTATAATTTAAAATGCCTAACCTAGATTATACATTATACAACATTACTTTAAGATCCTGAGATATTAGGAAGTAGAAGACTAGCGTGAGTCGACGACATACAGTACCTGGCCAGCATTTTGTAGGCCATGGGTGTCTCCCAGATCTCCTCGTGTTCTTTCTCCACCATCATGTGGATGCGCCGCAGCAGTTCCCGGACGCTGGCAGCGAACACGTCCAAGTCAGACTCAAAGTGATGGTCGCGGTAATCAAGGTAGTCATAAGACTTGTGGGAGATCTCGCTGCACATCTCATGCCAGGACTTGAGGATATCACGGAGGCCTGGTAGTAGGGATGTGTGAGAGGGTGTGTCCGGCCACGCTAGTAGTGAGGACAAGCTCCCAACCTGATGGTCCTCTTCAACACTTATCTACTGACTTGTTTGTTTATTAAATCCCTTTAAAACCAGAAACTATTCTAATGAGCCTACCATGGCCATAATGACTATAGGTTTTTCACTACTTTATAATTTTTAATAAGTGATATTAAAGCATTTTAATTGTTGTTATATTCAGTGATGATAATTTTATTTATTACACATGCAGTTATTCAGCCACATCTAGATGTTAAGGGTATTTTAGCTATGGTTTCCAAAGCGAGGAAGCGGAGTATACTGGACGTGGTGGCAGCGTTGTTGTGATGGCAGTAGAGGCAGTGCTAGATTTCTCGAAGCTCGTCTAGGTTGGTCGAAGCAAGGCCTTCACCACTCAACACCAGCCAGTATATTAATCTACTTGGTCACCATGAACCTGCAGTTACACTTACCACCAAGACAACAAAGAGACGATTACCTGCAGTTTACATCAAGGTAACAGGGAGGCATGCAGTGGTTATGGTGGTTCATGGTGCTGGCCAAGCTTCGTCAACCGTCCTAAAGACATATGCAGGTTATTCAAGCATAACTTTTGATAAACATGAGTTAATTCGTTTCGTATCTTGTTAGGGATAATCGTTTAATATCTTGCACAGTAAAAAACATGTTTAGTACATGAATTTCGAAGTGCTGACTGACCATAACTCTAGCAAGTGTTAATTCCTCTGTGAGAAGCTAGTTATACACCGACCGATGATTCTGAAGTGACAAAAATAAAAGTCACCATGTTCTCTCACCAAAGTGGCGGAATTCGCAACAGTAAAATTTAAGACTGGTTTTCGAGGCCAACAGCGCCTTGTGGGTCATGGCAGCTGGAGTAAACTTGAGTTTCAATACTGATGAAATTTTTGTAGAAAACCCTATAACATACAGGTGTAAATATATTTAAATATATTCTGTTAGCAACTGTTTATAAATATCATGCTTTTCTGGGTTTTATGAATGAAAAAAAAATTATATATATATATATATATATATATATATATATATATATATATATATATAAATATATATATATATATATATATATATATATATATATATATATATATATATATATATATATATATATATATATATATATATATATATATATATATATATATATATAGGTGTGTCATACAGAGGCGAATTTTTTTTTTTTGAGTTTGAAAAATCGGCCCATGGTATTGATGATGTAGTTCTATGTGCAGAATCATGTGATATCTTCAGATTTGAAAAGTTTTCATTTTTTGCTAGGTAAATTTTAACTTGAAATCTTATGAAAATTCAGTATTCCCACCCTTTTACCAACACCACTAAATAGCTTATTTAAAGTAAAGTAAATGTATCAGGTTAATTTATTAGGATGAAAATGATCCAGAATAGTGAAACGAATGATCTTGACACATTTATTAAATTTAATATTCCTTTAGAAAACAAAATCATCAAATACAAAAACCGGTTTTACTACTACGACCCGGTGTTGCTGCACACCATAGAGAACATGTCTTTCTTGCTTCTGTTTCTACTCATCACCTCCCTGCTGACCACCTGAGCTCGGATGTAGCCTTCCCTCCTCTCCTGGCTGTACACGTGACTGCTGGCCTCGCTCACTTGCTGTACACAACGCTCTATACTCTGGGTGTGCGAGGGCCAGGCAGGGACATGCATGGGGTTGTCCAGGAAAGCTCTGACTTGAACATTGGTGAGGCTGCAGGTAAGAGGGGGCTCACTGCCAGCCTGGATGTTATCCAGATCTATGAGATCAGTGAGGGTCTTGGCACCTAGATTGACTTCAGGAGTCTTCCTGACCCTGAAGGAATCGTCACCAACTGATTCGTCATGCCCAGATCCTCTCATATCTCATATCCAAGATCTTTTTGACTGCCACTCTTCTCTCCTCCTCATCCTTACTGCAGAGCATTGTCTGCAGAACTGCCTCGGATGAGCATACCAGGAAGATCTCCTCACAGTCTGCTCCACAATCTGAACAACCTTCCTTGGCTGACTCCTCAGGAGCTCAAGCTGGAAGAAGAGAACATGCCTCGGACCTTCGGAGAACATGACTTGACCTTGGTGTTGAACCAATTTGGCAAGTAGACACTCACGATGAATTGGACAATAAGTCTCAGGTTGTGAAGCTGGTTCCCTTTCAGTTTATGATGAGCGACCCAAATTCTGCAGAACCTGAGAGCCGTTGTGAGCCACCTAGAATGTGAGACTGAACCTATCTGCAGGTAAGCAAGTCTATCAGGCATGACCCCAGTTTTGATGGCACTGCAAATCATGTAACCATAGTACTGGTCAGTACTCAGGTCATCAATGACAGTATGTGCAAGCTCAACGAGTGGAGGGCCAACTGTGATTTTTTCAAAGCTCGGATTTATTTCTAACTCAGTGGCAGAGTCCAGCATCTTGCCAAGAGGACCAGACCATCTGTTGTTTGAAAGAGTCTTGCCATCCAGCTCCTGGATCAGATGTCTGAGTGGCAACTCGTTGGTGTGGAGGTCACAAACAATCCAGACCAGCTTCCTCCCAATCTTCCGCTCTATCCACTGTATGACCCCCCCTTGCCACCCTGTGTTCGTGTTGGTGCTGTCCCCTCCAATGGCCTGCAGGGTCTGGTCTACGTTCCTCTCTCTGAGCCAGTTCACAATGTTATCTGCCACTATCTCAGCTGGTTTCCTGATGTCATCTTTCTCTGGAGTGAAATGCCACAAATACTTCCCTCCTGGTTCACTGCAGCAGGAGTAGTGTTCCTCCTTCACCATGGCAGGGAACAACTTGTCAGAATCTCCAACTTTCATGAACACTTTAGTGTCATCCCTTCTCCCATCAAAGAACAAACAATTGATTCCATTTTCTCTTATCCCCTTATCAAACTCCTCTCTAGGTTACTGACAAGTTTCTCTGAGCTCTCCTTACTTTGTTATGATCTATCACCAGGTGAACATCATCAGGTGTTATCAAACCACCGTCAACCCAGGCAGCTGTTGCTATCTCTGCAGTTTCTCTGAGACCAGTGTGGTGTCGCATGCTGGCCAGAGCTATGCTCGGGATATCTTTCCTATTTCGAATCTTATGCCTGGAAGGTTTGGGATCATTATTTTCTGGGTTAGGGACAGTCACCATTCTCCTGGTCAGCACTCGTATCAGCCATGGGGAAGTCATTAAACTCTGAATCAGCTTGACTCCAATCATCGGCCTTTTTTACTTCACCCTGGGCCTTCTCAAGTCTCTTTTCCTCGGCAACTCTTCTCCTCTTCTGTCTCTCTGTGACAGCCTCCTGTCTCTTGGACTCCGGAATATCTTGGCTAGAAATCATGAGAGCCCCTATACTGCCAGTCTTCTCTCTCTGTGCTTTGACAAATGCCAGTTCGATCACAGGAATCTTCAGTTCACGCTTGCAAATACAGAAGATGTGGGCCTCGGATTTACAGTCACGATCGCATCCAAACTCAGGACAGAGAACAATTGGGCACTTGCAAGTAATTATGTCAAATAACTGGTCCATTTGCTTGGCAAAGCTGTCCTTAACTGCAAGTTTTCCTCTCCCAAGAGAGATATCTCTTGCCTTTTCCCAACTGGCTAGCAGTCTCTCACTAATCTTCTTCTGACTTGTTATGACTGGAGGCTTGAACTGAGCGTTAGCCAGAGTGTACTGTGCCAAGACAGCTTTGGTCGTATCACTGGCAATGTCTTTGTTTGTGTAAGTTCTTTGGTTCTTTTCACTGATTTGCCTGATTAAAACACCGTATCTCAAAGCATCTCTCAATGTAGGCAACTCCGACTTCAGGAGCTCTCTCCCAGACCCAAGATAGTGACTGAGATGGCTGGATTTTTGGTTCCTCGTCCTGACACAAGCAGCCATCGCAAATATTATCAACTTATAAATGCATCAGAATCTGAAACAGAAAAAATATTGTTAGTTGGGTTGTTAAAGAATGAAGTCAGAAAGCAATGTTCACTATTTAATTGTAATGCACTAATGCAGCTGTACGTTAGATTTTCGATAAATTTCACGCTAAAATTTACCTAGCAAAAGGTTGCAAAATATTGAAACTTAAATTATTTTCTGTTTATATACACTAAAATCTACCAAAAAAGTGATGGGCCATTAGTTTTAGCTGATCTTCCCTCCTATGACACCCTAATATATATATATATATATATATATATATATATATATATATATATATATATATATATATATATATATATATATATATATATATATATATATATATATATATATATATATATATATATATATATATATATATATATATATATATATATATATATATATATATATATATATATATATACTAAAGATCTTTTTATCGGAGAATGTTCAGCTTAACGGTTGACAACGACTGCTACAGACACTGGAGTGTTTCACTGCAAAGTCAGTGACTGTTCCTGGTGGTGCTGGGTGTTAGGGCTCGTTTACACGATCAGTCACCACGTATGGTGGTCGCGCACGCCTCGGATCAGTGGCGAAGCATGGGGTCGGAGCAGGGTACTGGACCACTGTTTAGTGGACGGTGTGTTTACACGGAATTGCCACACCTTCGTTACCGGTCAGTGTGTGGTAGACTGCTGGGCAAGATAAGAGGTTCATGGCTCCCAGACAGACGAGTCGGCGACGGACGGCCGCACTGTTGCGTGTTTTAGCCGCTGGGATGATACTGAAGAAAAAAAACAAGAAAACGGAGTGTGTGGGTGAAAAACTGGTTAAGGAACAAATCGTGTGGTACTTAAAACCAAATCTTTGCTGAAATGCAGCGTGAGGACACATTTGCATGACTCCTGAAATGTACAACACACTCTTGGATAAAGTGCGTCCACATATTTCCAGAACGGATACAAATATGAGGGGCTCTATAAGTGGCAGGGACCCACGTAGGTGGCCACGCAATTATTAGGCTCCCACACGTAACTGCCCGGGAAGGGTTGGTGGTTCAGTGTTGCCGTCTACACGATCACTGCCCGAGCACGGCTTCGTTACCATGCTTCGAAAACATGCTCCGAGACTGATTGTGTAAACGAGCCTTTAAAAGTATACGTTCGGCTGCATTGTGTACGGCACATTGACAGTATTCCTTTATTTTTCTCGTGCAGGTGCTCCTGTGTGCAGCTCTCGTCTGTTTTATACTAAATATTTAATTTTTTCTTGTAAGAGAGGTGATGATCAGGTAGGTACGATGTTGTAGCTTCCTGTGTTTATGATGTCACTATGTACACTATGTTTAATTATGTACAACATTCTGTACAGCATTAAGGGCAACATTCTTACCCCAAGTTTTGTTTTATAAATGATGCAAAAGAAAGTGATATTACCCGTGGAAATTTCATTCTAAGCCTAAAAAAAAAAATACGTGTTCTTAAGTCATGCTGTACACAGTAAGAATATAAAAATAAAACAGGTTACGTAGTAGAGGAATTTTCACTACACTAGAAAAAAAAATCACTGCGGTGGTTGAGCTGCCTACTTAAAACTCTAATACTGTGAGGCACTGTACAGCCTCGGCAACTTTGTCATAGTTACATACCCAGGCAATGTGTCTTTCTCCCCATCAAATATTAAGTGTAACTCATTGATTTCTTCTAATATATTCTCCCTGTCCGTTTATAACTTTCTCTTGATCATGATGCAATACTAAGTAGTGTCCCCTTCTTTCTTTCATTCATTATATCACTCTCAGATACATGTGTAAAATTTCATTTGGTGAAAACCAAAAGAAAACGGCGCTTGAGACAAGGGGGGAATTCCTAAGTCCCAGATGAGAGTGAGTAGAAGCTTGATGATTACAGAGCCCTTTAGCCATCATGACAGAGCCGTCATTCATCATGACCATAAGCACAGTGGTGGATACTACCAACATTAGTTACTTAAGGGTCATCCTAACTGAAGGCTCCCGTCATGTTAACTAATGACCTCTGTGACTGCAAATTATCTGCTTAACCCTTCCTAACTACGAATACAAAAATAAAGATCTATCAACTTATCGTTTGTACTCACACTCTTCTCATAAATATGGAGGCATATGATATGAGATATGTTTTCCGACCAAGAGTTTAACTGGAAGGTCAAAAATACTTCTGGCAGATCCTGGAAACAAGTGTCATTGTGTACTGTCTGCAGTGGACTCAGGCGGTGTGATATGGAATACTGTGCTTCTAACGTCCCTTTACCTTACGTTACACTTTATGATGGCACTTTAAATCCTGACTTAGTTTATAATCTTAACTGTCTCATATTTTTTTATGCCTTATTGATATTATGCCTTTATGTCATTAGATACAATACGTAATATCTGCTGATGTACATTAGTTTACTGTATAGAATAGAGTACTTCTGATGTCCCGTCAAAAAGGGTGTCTCTTAGGTTCCCTCGCCTGCCTCCCACGACTGGTCCCTGTTTTTTGTCCATAATTTAGTGAAGAGCAACACCCCTATTGACCTGTTAGAATGAGCTTCCAACTGTTTTTCCTCCACCCCTGATTAGCTCCCCCACACACCCTCCCTTGTGCCTTGGACGAGTGTTAGCGAGTAGTGTGAAGCAGAGGGACCCAAGCTGTGGTCCGGGAAGCTGCCACGGTCAGGCTGTGGCCATCTGGGTGTGAGGCTGCGGCGGCCTTACAGCTGTCATGGTCAAGTTGGAGGCAGCCTAGCCGCTGTGCCCGGGACGGAGCTGCCACCACCAGGTCAGCTTGGGACACGGATGCCGATAAAAGCTTAACAGTGAAAAACTAAAGATGCTGTTACAACCTGGCTTGTTCTTATTACTCCGCATTTGGCCTATTGCATCTGAAAATTGTAGGGAAATAATGAATACTGTAAACGGGTTAACAAGTGGCATATCTTAATGGGTACATCGGCTCTTCAATAAAGGAGCCCTAAGTGACGTCCAGTCGTGTACTATCCTGCAGCATCACAAGTAAGTACTGTGAATGAACGATGACACTATTACTGAGTGACATGACACCAGCATTAGTGAATCTCAGTTTTGCTATACAACATTATTAGTCATCGGATAAACTATAGAGAAAAAAACATTATGTCCAAAGCAAAGATATCTTTAACATTATTAAAGTATCGTACGTAATATTATCATCATTGATGGAAATATTTAAAGTTGCTACATTTAGAGCATTATCAATGTTGAAAAACTTGGCTTAAAATTACAGCTTAGAAATACGTAACAGTATGTAGGAGAAGGATTACTGACGGCTTAGTATTTAAGAACATATATTTCAAGGATTTGTTTTTTAGATTGGGCGTTAGGATTTTATAATTATGCAGGCGGATGAAAGCAGTTTGTTCTGTACACATTACAATTAATTTGTCACTGAAACTGACGTGCACTGGTGGCGGTATTGTTCCTGGTGCTGTACTGTAGGTGTGCTGCCTCACGTGTAACCCACCGTAGGAAAACGATAATGAAATCTTTCAATGTCAGAAGAGGAAGTTTATATACACACACTCACACCACGCACACTCATATCAGACACAAAGACACACCTCAGACACTTGCACCCCATACACACTCACACCGAGGCTGACCGGCCCTCGAGCCACCTGGACGCGAATTTGTTAAAAGTTTAGAAGCTGTTGCTCACACAACAACCACACCCTGAGTTAATGAGATGTATGACCCAGTGTCAAGGAATAATAAGAGGACCGGAAAACTCGCAAACTACACTGGCTAACCGTTACCCCAGATCAAAATCAGCATAATGTTCCCCATCACTGCTGGGTTGACAGTGTTAAATGCCGATACCCGGGTATCGAACTCAGTACCACTCACTTGCAAGGCGAACATGCTGACCAAAACACCACAAATCGTTTCATTTGACCAAGAGGCTCAAATCAGACAATTTTTCCTGGCCGGTTTTCTCTCTTTTCTTGACACAGTTCCCATACCATGACCAGTATCACCGTCAGTGTATCATACAAAACTGTTGAATAATTTTGTCAATCAAACCCACATTAAAACAGTACAATTTCGGCGCCCACTAAGCACCCTCCCCAGTTGTGGTAAACCAAACTGTATTGTTTCAATGTCATCTCATTGAATGTGGGTTTAATTTCCAACATGACGTTTCTGTTTTTGTGAATCTTTCAAAGTACTTTCTATAAATGATGACACAGCACGGCTCCTTAACGCTCACACTCACTATTATTCCAACTTTCTCTGACGGCGCACTTGACAGAACTTAAATTCATCATAATATATCAAGGGTAAGTTTTTATTTTACGGTCAGAATATTATCTTGAACGTTGACTAACACTTTGAAGCCAACTGTGTGACCATCGAGTCCGTGGCCTTGAACTCTAAGCAGTTTTAACTAGATAAAAAGAGTTGAAGGGTGGAAACGAGTATCAAGTTTGGCCCTGTGTTTTGACCTTCGTCCGCGCTAAACTAAATTCAACAGAATTCCTGAAGTATACCTCACGAGCTGAAAATTTTAATTTAGTATATTCTAAGCGTCTGTGAAACATTACCAAGCATCCTGGGAGATATTCAGACGTAGAAAATTTTTAGTGTGACCTTCACCCAAACCTCCGACTGATCTCCGTTAACAATTAAGTTTTCCGAAATATTTCCTAAAAAATCCAGTACTGAATGTTTGAAGATAATAACTCGAAATGCATGACAGCAAAGAACTATCGAAAAACACTATCTTACCACCGATTAATGGATCATGACAATGCTAAACGACAGATTATCAATCAGGTAATATTACCCAAAGAGAAAACAAGATACTGTATTTGGAGAAAATGGGCCAGAAGTTATCTACGAGGTGAGGCATCGAAGAGGAGCCGTGAATGACGGCCAGAATCTAATTAACGTTAATGCCGGATGAATGACCTAACTATACTGGTAAAATTGAACCCCACAAAAAACGAAGTTACCAAAGATGACACAGGAAAACAAATCAACTGCAGCCTTAACTCGAAACTGAGGAACCTGACAAACAGATAAACACAGACAGACTAAATAAATACAGGCATAGGCAAGAGATTAACGTACTTTGTTTCTTTATTAAGTGAAAATATCGCCATAACATTCGAGTCTGTATAATGGTTCAGTGACGGTTAGCTTCAGTACACAAGACGCTGCACTAAATGACGACGTCCGTAATATCTAGCAGCAGTAACAGTTACCTGACGAAATGCTTCCACCTAGATCGTTCGAGGCCTCAAGTGATGCACATCGAGTGTGTGGCGCGGCGCTCCCTTTTCCTCTCTCAGGGAGAAATAAGTTGGTCGAGTCTCTCTTGACGTAAAACTAGCTGAGGCTGAACTATAGATAATTTCTTTTTTGCTATAAACAGTGAATGCAATTTGACGTGATATTTTGTACTGTGTGAGAAATTTAAGTGGGTTTTTGGTTGCAATTTTAGGAGAAAATAAGGTCTCTGGTTAATTTGGAATGTACAGTTCTAAATTTTGTAAATAGAGTGACACAAAAAAGCGTTTTATGACAAAATACTCCATTGTTGTGTTGGTACATTGGCTTGTATCAAGAGAGTTCCGTTTAATTGTGAGATAGGAAAATAGAAAGCTTCGAGTTGTGTGGTACAAGGTAAAGTTAGCGGCAGTGTCAGGCCAATGGTGTGGTGTAACTATTACAAGGATGAAGTGTTGATCAGGAGGCGTGTGAGTGAGGGGTCTGACACAAGGATGAGGTGGCCGGTGTTGTTAAAGGAGCTGACAAGGGTGAGGTGAGGGGGTGAAAAGCCAGTTCTCCTGGTTTCAGAGGATGTGGTGGTCAGGTTGACAGACCATACAGGCCGAGTGTCAAGGTCTTGTGTACTTGAACAGGTATTTCTCTGGATGATGGGTGGAGGAGGTGGAGGAGGAGTGGAGTGAGAGGGCTACTGTATCTCCACTCCACTTACCGGTTTCCATGGGAAGTAAGGCTGTGGGAAGAGACCATCCGCAGGCATGCGGCATCATACGGAAAAGAACAAAAAAAATGAGTGTATTAATAAGCTGTGAGCATAACTGAGGACCCTGAGTCTCCAGCAGCTGCATGACGCCGCCCGCAGCTCGTAAACACAACATCATGACACCATGAATAAAATCAGAGGCAAACACAAGAAGAAATGTGAGAAATTTTCTGGTCAATGACTCTCTAAGGTTTATACTGTACTTTAATTCCCCTAAACTGGTGATATGAAAATGCGACTTATTGGCTTTTTGAAGTTATGGTAAGAAACTAGTGACAAAAATAGCGTTCATACTACACTGAGACTACAGTACTTAGCTGCGTTTACATATCGCCAATCAGGGGAAGAAAAGAGTAACGTAAAAATATTTGAGACTCTTACCGTGAAGTGGGTTTATGTTGCAATGTTTACGAGCTCCATTACCCCTAGAGTATGGGTGGGTCCGACACAACTTAACATACATCGGGGAAAGGTATCAGCTTATAGGATTTATTGGATTTATGGTAGCAGATATTTTTTTTAATATAATTCATTAATTACACAAAAAATACATTATCACTTCATAAGAATTAAGTATAAGAATGAGATTATTACGTTTAATTCTTTAATGCAGCATTTAGGCAGTGACGCAGCTATGGGTCAGAAGCTATAGGCCGAGGAGGGGAGAGAGAAACAGACGATACCAGGGGAGTTAAGGTGGTGTGGATGAGGTACCGTCAACCAAAGAGGCACTGACCCCACCCAAGGTCACGTGCAGGAAATTTTACGTGGCAATACTTGGTGATGTAAGGCTATATGTAATGGGGATTGTGATTGGTGGATCTATTTTCTGCTGTATCACTGTCAGGATAAATATTAAACGATTCATCATTATTTTAGATCAGGAGAAGTTTCCAAAATAAACGTTCGTATATTTGTTTAAATAACGAAGAAAATTAAATAATGAATTTGCAAGTCAACTACAACCGCAGCTGTCACAATATTCTCACATCAAATTTTCTTCATTATTTAAGCAAATCTACGAACATTTGGAAACTTCTCATGATGTAAAATAAGGATGAATAGTTTATTATTATAAAGTTCTACCTTTGGTTTGTTTAATGTTTACCCTGACAATGATACAACAGAAAACAGATCCACCAATCACAATCACCATTACATACAGCCTTCCTTTACCAAGTATTGCAAGATAAAATTACCTGCACGTGACCTAGGGTGGGATCAGTGCATCTTTGGCTGACTGTACTATAGGTTAATACCAGGGGAATTAAGGTGGTGTGAAGGAGGTAGGTTAATACCAGGGGAGGAAGCTGGTAAGAGAGGATGCAGGTTGAAGGGCCAGCCATAGTGAGGCAGAGGAGGTGACTTGGAAGGTCCAGCACTTTACGTGTAGTCTGGGACGTGTGATAGTCGGAATGAGGACGCGGATAGTTAGCTGAGCCGGGAGAGTGGTCATTGATTGGCTATGAGGCTGAGGGTTGTTTACTGGGGACTAGACGGTAAGCTATGATTGGTTAGGAGGCTGAAGGTTGTTTACTGGGGACTAGACGGTAAGCTATGATTGGTTAGGAGGCTGAGGGTTGTTTACTGGGGACTAGACGGTAAGCTATGATTGGTGAGGAGGTTGAAGGTTGTTGAGGGGGACGGGAGAGTGAACATTTGATTGGCTGGTATTTTCAGGATAATAATCTGGGGAGTGAGGATTACTGGTTAAGGTGGTGAGGATTACTGGTTAAGGTGGTGAGGATTACTGGTTAAGGTGGTGAGGATTACTGGTTAAGGAGGTGAGGATTACTGGTTAAGGTGGTGAGGATTACTGGTTAAGGTGGTGAGGATTACTGGTTAAGGTGGTGAGGATTACTGGTTAAGGTGGTGAGGATTACTGGTTAAGGTGGTGAGGATTACTGGTTAAGGTGGTGAGGATTACTGGTTAAGGTGGTGAGGATTACTGGTTAAGGTGTTGAGGATTACTGGTTAAGGTGGTGAGGATTACTGGTTAAGGTGGTGAGGATTACTGGTTAAGAAGGTGAGGATTACTGGTTAAGAAGGTGGTTACTGGTTAAGGAGGATTACTGGTTAAGGTGTTGAGGATTACTGGTTAAGGTGGTGAGGAAGGGTTTACTGGTTAGAAGGTGAGGTTACTGAGGAGGTGAGGATTACTGGTTACTGGTTAGAGGAGGTACTGGTTAAGGAGGTGAGGATTACTGGTTAAGGTGGTGAGGATTACTGGTTAAGGAGGTGAGGGTTACTGGTTAAGGAGGTGAGGATTACTGGTTAAGAAGGTGAGGATTACTGGTTAAGGAGGTGAGGGTTACTGGTTAAGGTGGTGATGATTACTGGTTAAGGAGGTGAGGATTACTGGTTAAGGTGGTGAGGATTACTGGTTAAGAAGGTGAAAATTACTGGTTAAGAAGGTGAGGATTACTGGTTAAGGAGGTGAGGATTACTGGTTAAGGTGGTGAGGATTACTGGTTAAGGAGGTGAGGGTTACTGGTTAAGGAGGTGAGGGTTACTGGTTAAGGGGATAAGGATTATTATTTACGGTGAGGATCACTGGAAGAGGGTAGAGAGTTTGGGTTAAGAAAGTGAGGAGTTTGGAATCACAAGGTTAAGGGTTTTGGCCTCACCTGTCGGGTCAGATATAACCTGGAACTAAATATTTTTAGTTGATCATTCTAACTATTATTTAGTGCTATCATCTCCTGCTAATGCAATCATCATGCAGTGATTCGTGACGTAGCAGGCATAAAATTTATTTTATTTTCTTAAAACTAAAGATTATTATATTTCTGTACTGGCCTTTACGGAGAGTTGAAATTTTTATTATTGCCGTGAAGCAATATAATATCCATCAATATGTTGAAAAATGACGAAAAATTACTATAATCGCAATGTATAATGAGCAGGAACCATTAATTGTAATTGTTATACATAACTTGAAATTTAAGTATTTTCTGAATATCAGTCTTTTTTCTAACATCAGGCAATTCTTTGTAAATTATATAATAAATATAAATCTTACATTCAGCTCGACCTTCGAAGAATCCCGAGAACTTGTCAATATCGTCGAAGAGTCTGGTGATGTTGTTGAGGCGGCAACAGAACGCCTCGAACTTGCCGAAGACATACTGCTCGCTGAAACTGAAGGGACGTTCTCCTGGCATGGACTCCAACTTCTCCTGTCAACAACAACGTAATATTACTCTCACCATTCTTGTGTACCTCACCTGTCATGACCTCCTGTTCCTCACAACTTCAGTCTTTGTGTACCTCGCCAGTCATGGCCTCCAGGTACTGTCCTCCTTTGTCATGACCCCCAGCTCCTGTCAACCACAACATCATGTCGTATCTCTGTACCTCACCAGTACTGACAATATCCATTATGTTTCTATTGTCAATATTTATTTTACCATGCACAACAATCACCTCCTCTACATGAATTTAATTGTATCTATACGGATGTATGTCTTCAACGAATAGCCATTATTATTATTGTTATTATTAACATAATTGTTATATTGCTACGGTCACTATATCATCATCACTACTACCTTTATTATTATTATTATTATTATTATTATTATTATTATTATTATTATTATTACAATTATTATTACAATAATCATTATTATTGCTATTTTATAGTTATTATTATAATTATTGTTATCAGTTTACAACACAGGCAACCAACACGTCCCATCAGCAGCAAACCTTCACTAACCAGCTTGAGGCTCACTACCTGTCCTCATCAACATTGTTTCTTACTTGGTGTGTCTACTGTATGTATAGTATAGGTAAATGGCGTTAACTTTTATATATATATATATATATATATATATATATATATATATATATATATATATATATATATATATATATATATATATATATATATATATATATATGGTTGAATTTATTTTTGTTAGTCTGTCGATAAAATTTCTTTTATCTATCGTTAAACTTACTTTTGGTTAAGCTGATTTTAATTATGTTAAGCTTATTGCTATCATTTGTTAAATTTACTTTCATCATTCATTAAAATAATGGACCTTTACCATTCGTTAATCTTACTTCACTTTATCGTTGAACGTATTCTTATCATTTGTTAGAGTTACTTTTATCTTTCTTTAAATTTACCTTTACCAGTCACTAAACTTACTTTATTTTGTCGTTAAACTTACTTTCGTCTTCTGGTAAGCTGTCTTGTAGGTGGCGTTAAGCTTGAGACAATGTTGTATCTTAACCCTCACTTCCTTACGTGGCTGTGACCAGATGGTCTCTTGACCCTGGCAGGATATGTACACCTGACACGCACGTATCATCTGGTTGGTGATCTGCAAATATGATAAATGTCTATAAGTTTGTTTATTTTCACTCTTTTGAGTCTTATGCCACAGAAATTGTGGAAACAAGAGCATCCAATATTGAATCCCCCCTTATTCGTCGCCCCACTTTCTATTACCTACTGTATCTAATGTTCTTCTATATAGTGTGTTCCCCTGACACAACTCTTTGTATTTTTGATGCTTAGAGTAAACAAGATAGAGAAGAGACGCAAAAAGCCTAATTGTTAGAGGGTTGTTTGTGCTCGTCTGAAAGCTCCGCCTATTTATGACATCTTCACTGATACCTAACAAGATAATCCTCTCCAAACCTGTTCTTTTCTAAAACATATTTTACAATATATAAAAAAAGAGCTAAATCACAAATTTTATCAATATAAAGTATCAAAATATACAGTTATGCCATCTATCGCTCACAAAGGCCACCAAGATCGATAGTACTTTAGGTTTTATCCACCAGGATCTTACGAAACTTTAACTAAGTCTTAAGTATGTAAAATATATCAAACTATAGTGTTACCTTAACCCAAAATTAAACTCGAATGTTAATAAATGTACAGATAGCTACCAGAATTAGCGCAAACATACGTTACTGTGCTTTACATTAGTTTATAAGTAGCTCAACTGACATAAGAACAAGAAACCAGCCTGACAGGTGTTAAAAGGAAAATACATTGCTACTGTAAGAGGCGCGCTACTATGTGTGTGTGACAGGACAACCCACTGTCTGCTGCTGGTGGTGTCTCACGACAAGAACTGGGCAAGCCCAATATGAACATTAATCAACACTTAATATAAATATACCCAAACAGTGCACCCAAACTAGAATAAATTATTAAACACTGTTTTAATAAACACAAACAATATTATCAATAAATATCGTGTAAAGTCCAGACAAACACAAAGGGCTATTTGATTGATTGAAAGAACAAGGCTAGAACACTAAATGTAAAAAAGGGAGGATCATTTCTAAGATAAGCACACAAATATACTACCCACGTCACTTATAAGCCACACAGACTGCCAGCCTGGAAATTCTTAACCGGAAACCAGACAATTAATCGGTGGTCTGCCCTGGTGTCAAGTCAACGCTTACCCCCGAACATGTTAGTATGGATAGGTTATAAAATCAGAAAGAAAATACATTTTTAAAGTTATCCATGCTAACGTGTTCGAGGGTAAGCCTAGACTTGACACTGGAGTTACAAATTTTGAAAATTAATTTTTTGAGTCCAAAAAATATTTTCCTAAAAATCATAGTATAGGTATACCTCAGAGCACAGATTGAAGACCTGTATTCAAACGTTGAAATTCTGATAAGCAAGTGTTCTGCCAGTCACTGGAGTTTGAAATTTTTATAATTAAGTTTCCTGATTAATATTAGCATTTTTTGTGATGAAAATTTGCTTACAATATCAGTATAAGTAGTCCCCTAATAAATTAGGAAATTAACTATTAAAATTTCATACTCCAGAACTACTAGTACAATTAATTATCCAAATTTCAACATTTCAACCACAAAACTTTATTCAGCATATCAAGTACGACCTATACTGTGATTTTTAGCAAAATTATATTTTCGACACCCCCAAAATTCAAGTAATTTTTTGAGGCCGAAAAATCTCAACCTATACATTCCCTGGTGTGCAGATTAAATTTTTTTGGTCATAAAATTGAAATTCTGATAATTAATTGTTGTCACTGGAGTTTTAAATTGTGATAATTAATTCCCCTGATTAATTTAATAATTTTTGTCGATATTTTGCTTAAAATCTCAGTATAGGTCATTCTCGACGCACAGATTTAAGATCCATAATGTCAACACTTACCTTCGAACACGTTAGCATGGATAAATAACTCTAAAAATTTATTTTTTTAACCTATTCATACTATTGTGTTCGGGGATAAGCGTTGACTTTACACCTTGGCTGACCACTGATTAATTGCCTGGTTTGTGTGTTTCTGGAGGTGGGGTGGTGGAGGGATGCACTCAGCGAAGTTGCCGGTTAGGAATTTCGAGGCCGCCAGACTGTGTGGCGGCTCATAAGTGGTGTGGACTGTGCAAAAGAAGTACAAGTAGTAGAAACTCCAAAAGTTGCTGGTAGCGAAAGTCAGAGCGGGGAAGATGACAGGGGAAGAAGCAGGGGGTTAGGAAGGGAATTGTAGTGGGAGAGATAGAGCCGTGGCTCTACACGACTGCGTTTATTTGGTTAGAGCACAGCGCACGTATTGTTTTTGTTTTGTTTTTTGTCTGTGTTGGGTGTGTGATCCTCGGGTCACCACTCCTCCGGATTGTGTAAGTTACAAGTAGTAGAGTCGAGGGCGTAGAAGCCTGAAGAGTCAATGGTCAACGTCTAAACAAGTTATTGGAAGCTCCAACAACTTGTCCCTGAATACGCCCTTCTACGCCCTTAACTCATGAGACATAAGGCAAGCATGAACTTAGCATGCTTCCCTGTTGGGTGCTGTAAACGCTTCTGCGCTTCACCTTACACAAGGATGTAGGGGAGTGCCCAATAAATGAAAAGAAAAAGTAGTAGAAGCTCCAACAACTTTCCCTGAATACGAATTCGCAACTTTTCGATTTACAACAGGTACTTACTTACTGCTAGGTGAACAGGGACCAAGGGAGGCTAGGAAGAGTGTCCAAACAACTTCTGCCGGCCCGGGAATCAAACCCGTGACATCTTGCTTGTGAGGCAAGAGCGGTACCGCTCTACCAGAAAAGAAGGATAAAAATAGGGGTATAGTATACCCGTGTGTGCTTAGCAGTAGAACTTCTTCATTTCTCTGCATTTAACATTTTAGACTTGTTCTGTCAGTTACTTAAATAGCCCTTTCTTATGTCATGACTTCTTATGCATTGATATTATTCTTTGTATTCCTGAAACAATATTTAATTGTTTATTTAATTCCTATGAAAATACATAAATAATTGGTGAAGTCTCTTTTAGCTCTTCTTTGTGAGTGGAATAAGTAATGTTCTGGAACGTTAGTTGATTGAATTAAATAACTCAACACTCAAGACCCTTGTAATTTCCCAGGTGATCCTTTTTATCATCATAAACAAGTTGTACAAAACCTTATTATTTATTGTATATAATATCCTGCATGACAATACGGAAGCACTTTGTCATGTATCGAGAAAATAGTACCATGAATAATTCCTCAACACGTGAGCGACATCTAGCGACATAACACTTTATTAACGATACTTTCATCTTAGGGTCTTATTCAGCCTGAGTTGTACCAGTGTAGAAATGGGTAAACCAAGAGCTCCCTAACTAATGTGAAACGCCGATCCTAATGACCAATGGTAACCAGTGATGACACTAACTTACTTAAGTGATTCAGTCGCCAATAAGAGGGAATCTTTCTAGAAGTCTGAAAAGTGAACCTTTTATATGTAAGGTACAGTACGTGGTTTTGGTGCTACTAAACAGAAGCCTTAAAAACGCTTTACAGGTGATTAATTAGTGTCAACATAACTTTTCTTTTTCTTATATGTTATACTTTAGTGAAGACGTAAGTATTAAGTTCTGTCCTGTGCCTAGGTCGTTCGATTATTCTTTTGTTTATAAATAAATGTTAAGTATAATAAGAAAATTGCCACCGTTCGTCTTAACTACCCTCTATCATACTTAACTAATGAATTACCCACTATTATCTTCAATACATAAAGACTATGTTTACTAAATCCACTATTCCTTAGTTGCGATTTTGAATCTTCTGGTCAACATAGTATTACTTACCCAATGTACCAAGTGACCATTGAAAGTATTGAAGAAAGTCACCATACTGTTAACTAGAGGTTTCAATATACAACACTATATAGATCATTAAGAATAATTTCAGATACACAAAATATAGTAAAGGGAGTATGAAAATTAAATATGACAAAGGAGCAATAAAATTGGAAGTTAAAAAAACAATACAATAAAAATAATATATGAAATGGGACCCATGGTAGGAAAATATGAAAAGGAACTTAACAATAAAATATGCAAATGACTTAAAGAAAATATGAAATGGGAAAGATTAAAATCGCCTTGCACATTACTAAAAGAAAGAAAAACTCAACAACTTCTGATAATTTAAACAGAATAGGATTTCTGCCTACATCATTCCCGACTCAAAAAAAATGCAAAAGGGGAAGAGTAGCAACCACACTGACTTACCTTGATGAGGAGGGCAGAGAGCTTGTCTGAGGTGTTGTAGTACTTGGAGATGGAATGAATCATCCTCACTGTGTTGAACAGCATCATGATATACGGTGTCATCCCAGGCTGAGGGCAGACAGGTACTAAGTCATGGGTTCAGGAAAGACATGCGTTAGGTTCATGGGTTGAGGAAGATAGCCTAAGGTTTAGGCCATAAAATGAGGAGAGACAGGAGCTAGGTCATGGGTTAACGGAAGATAGGTGTCAGATCCTAGTTTGAGGAAAGACTGGTGTTAGTTACGGCGGTGATGGGTAGTGTAACGAAAGTGTGGGGGGGGCGGCGGACTGAGACACCTATAGTGAAAAACATAATGTGGTTGTAGAAGCAACGAACAGTAAACTTCACTTAAGTAGTTAACGTTACAGAGAGTATGTTTATGAAGAAAGGAGCTTTATTTATCTCACACGCACGCAACAAACTTAAAAACTCACTGGGTCATTGAGGTAGAGTGGGTGGCAGTACTCCTCAATGGCGTACACAAACTTAACATTGTCTTTGGCCTCGGCTAGATTGTGGGTCACCCTTGCGTCCATCTCCTTCCACGTCTTGAGCACCTTAGACCTGGCCAGCTGTAGCACCAACACTGCTCCCCGCACCTTGTGTAGGACACGTGGATAAGTTAAACACACATATTACATATATATATATATATATATATATATATATATATATATATATATATATATATATATATATATATATATATATATATATATATATATATATAAAAGTGTCACTTTTCGTTCATGAATAAATAAATAATATATTAAACACAGGATGAAGTACTATATTATATTAACTCGTGGATATCTTGAGACTCGTACCTTTGTTTCTATATATGCTCTTCCAAACTTGAAGAAAAATTAAGTTACCTGCTGAGACTCCATCTGTTCTGAGAGGAACTTGAACTTGGCCATGCGTCTCTTCCAGTACTCCAGCTCGTCCTGCGGCCCAGCATCGTCTGTTTCCTGACGTAGCTGTTCCATCTCTATCAACACCGACTCTGTGTGTGTGTGTGTGTGTGTGAAAGAAAACTGGTTAGTTGATGGAGGGAGATAGGAAGAGGGGAGATCAGTGGACAGGGAAGATAGGAGGGGGGGGGGGTAGTAAATAAGGAGGAAAATATTGTATGTGAAGAAGTAAGAGTATCTCAAAAAAGTACCTGTCCATACTCTGTGGGAAACATTATGAGAAATTGAGAACTTTAGTGCGCTTTAGGAAGTCGTCAGAAGAGGATTTACTGTACGTGTTTGATGCTGAGGCATTGTGCCTTGGAATTTTGGTTTGGTTCATTTAGAGGGTGCTATTTCTTATCTATTGCATAAGTATGGGTCCTAGGAACCTTACAGATGAAGAAAAGGCTCGTATTATGGCGTGGGAGCTGGATAATGTACCATTGAGTGAAATTTGTAGACGTACTGGCCGGGAAAATTTCACCATTAAACGCTTGGTGGCGGCTGCCTGTGGGCTGCCTCCTAACGTTATCCCACCTTACAAAACGTATCATGGTCGCCCACGGAAGACTACTGAGGGCACAGATAACTTTCTACAGCGAGAAGTACTTAAGGACCCCAGGATTACAGCAGCTCAGCTAAAAAAAAATTCCATGCCTGCTTGCTGATGTCTCACAACGCACAATTCAACACCGCCTACAAAAAGAGCTGCAGCTCCCTAGTCGCTGCGCTGCACGTATGCCTCTTCTGAGGCAAGCAACGACTCAATTTTGCTTATACCTACAAAGAATAGACACCAGTGCAGTGGAGTACGGTAATGTGGTCAGATGAAAACACTTTCAGATGCATTTCAGGGCGCCCAGGTAGGGTGAGACTACCAGTTGGGGTAAGCAGGTACGACCCAGCATACACAGTAAAAACAGTGAAACTCAGTGAATCAGTTATGATCTGGGGTTATTTTAGTCGGGAAGGTGGTAGGGGCGGATTGTATTTCCTCCCCAAAAATGTGACAATGGATGCTGACCGATACATTGATGTTCTTGAAAATCATTTGTTAAATTTTTATGACATTCATGGGTGCAATGTGTTTATGCACGACAGTACCCCCTACCATAAGGCTAAAAAAGTGACAAAATGGCTTCAAGACAATAACATTGATGTTCTACAGTGGCCAGGAAACAGTCCTGACCTGAATCCTATTGAAAATGCCTGGAATTATCTCAAGGGGAAGCTGGCAAACTGCAATACCTCATCCGCCAAGCGCCTGCAGGACGAGATGAGGCGCATCTGGACTCAAGACCTTGATCCACAATACTTCAAAAAATTAGCTGACAGCTTGCCATGAAGGATTAAAATGGTCATCAAAGCAAAGGGGAACATGACAAAGTACTAATAAAAGTTCATGTGCAATCTTTGTTTTATTTTCATATATGTATATGTCTTGTTGTTACACAATACCCACAAATTCTTGGGGGCCTCATCTTATTTGCAGACACTGTAGTTTACGAAAATCTTAGAGAGGGCTGAACTTAGGGCAATGGGGCGATAGTTAGAAGGATGGGCTGAACCGAGGCATGCTCTCAAGAAGGAAAAGTTTATTTTCTGAGGCAAAGACGAAATAGGCGAGCGAACACAGAGGCCTTACTCATAACCAGATTGGATAACACACCAACAACCCTACGATTGGAGATTATACGAAAGTGCATAGGTTCAGTAGGAGCAGCAGGAGTAAGAGGGGTAGCGTTAGAATCATCTAAGGTGGAGTTAGAGGAGAATAAGGTGCCAAAGAGATTGGCTTTATCCGAGGGATAGTTCGCTATAGAGTTATCAGTTCGGGAAAGAGGAGGAAAAGAGGGAGTGCAGAAGTTATTTATGATGTTTTTGGTTAAGTATTGTGTGTTGCTCATTGTGTAGCGGTAATATTGTGTGGCAGTAGTATCGTGTGCTGCTTCACCAGTTGGCTCCACTCTACCTGTATACCCCATTGCTGGTCCCGGTTCCCGAGCAGGTGTGACGTATTTCGTAGCGGTAGATATTTTGCAAACGTCACCGCTATGCAGAGGCCGCATTAGCGAGCCTAAAATAAAGCAACCCACCTTCACACATACTCAGTTTTTGCCTGATAGGGCTGGGTTGGGCTGTGCAGTCGGCCGAAGGCTGGCCTGAGCATGTACGTGTCCCTTTTAGGACCTTTAGGGACAGTAGCTGCAATACACTGAATATTATGCTTCGGTACCTAAAAGGAGTTATGTAGCCATTTTCTTCTTACCGCCTCCACTTCCCCAATTCAAAAGTATATAAGATACCCTATAACAGGTTAGGATAGGTAAGGTTAGGATAGTGCAAAAGGTTAGGATAAGGTAAGGTTAGGATGGGTAAGGTTAGGATAGGTAAGGTTAGGATAGGCAAAGTTGGGATGAAGCAAAAGCTAGGATGGGCAGGTAAGGATAAGTAAGGTTAGGTAATGTTTGGCTAAGGTAAAGGTTATTGGGTTGGTTTAAGTTGCCGTATGCAAAAGGTTAGGTTAGGGATATTACTAACCTATCTGCTTGAGCGATGACGACGGTACGTTCTATAGCCAAGACCTGATCTGGCTGGCCCAGCACCGCCTGAGCCTCCGTCACCCCCACCTCCCACACGCCTTCTTCCGATGTAGCCAACACCACTCGCTCGTCCATGATGGATTCTGACACTGTCAACAAACACCACCACTTCTCTATTATCACTCATTAATGTCACCAATTCCCTAAATGTTAATCAAAAGCACATCAGTGAAGTTGAACTAAACTACACCCACCGTATCAATGTCAACTATACTCACCACACACACAATACATACTTGTGTGTGGTCATCATAAAAAAGACCACATAGCATCACTTTCCATAGTAAGTGATTACTAGTTACATGCCATCTAGCTGATGAACCTGAAATAAATATTAGGTAGATTGTAACATGGGACATCCACACTACGAAGTGATCAATTTTGTGGTTATGTCATCTGATATATTATATCAAGTTATACGAATTTATATAATAAGGAGATTATGTCCAGTTTATATATCAAACTCCATTTACTAACAAGGAAGGTGCTACAATACTAAGAGATAAATTTATCTTTAGTATCCTAAAAAAAGAAGTGAATTACGCGTTTACAACACAAATATCGGGGTAGGTGGTAAAGCCCACTTAAAGAGGACTACTAATAACATGGTAATGCAAAGTTGTGTTGTGTGCTCATGAAAATATTAATAATTAATAATAACAATAATAATGATTTACTAAAAAAGGTTCAGCAGCCAAATGGCTGAAAATATACATAGGTATTAAGGGGGGGTTTAACAAAGATTTTTATTGTAAAAATTAACAAACATACAAATTCTTTTTGCAATTGGATTACATAATTTTAAGTAGAATTGAGTTTAGTATAGAAAGTGAGTTATCTGGAGATCAAAATGGATTTCAAAAGAAAAGGAACTAGAGAAGCTATATTTGGTTTGAGAAATTTAAGTGAAAAGACTTTAGAGGTCACAAGAAATTTGTACAACTGCTTTGTTGATTTTGAAAACCACGATAAGGTAAATCACAATAAAATTATAGAGCTCTTGGAAAAAGAGGCATCACTGAAGGAGATAATCGAATTTTAAAGAATCTTTACTGGCAACAGGAGGCTGCAGTGTTAGTAAATAATGAACTTCCGAATTGGTTCACAGACAAGGCTGTCTTTTATCTCCAGCACTGTATGATATCTATTCAGAATTCTTAATGAGAGAAATTAAAAGTGATGATGAAGGATTAAAAGTTAATGGTAAAGTAATTTCAAATAAACGCTATGCAGATGATACTGTTCTTATCGCAAATAGTGAGAGCAATAAAAAACGTTAACTGATTAGTGGAAAAGGGTGAAAAATAGGGTTCAGAGTTAATGCTTATGAGAATAAAGTAATGGTCAGGGGCGGATTCAGAATATCAAAGGAGGGAGATGAGGTGAGGGGAGAGAGGGGAGGACGAGGGGAAGAGGGGAGAGAGGGGAGGAGAATGAGGGGGTGAGGAGAGAGAGGAGGTGACTGAGAGGGAGAGAGGGAGGCACTGAGGTGAGGGGAGAGAGGGAGGCATCGAGGTGTGAGGAGAGAGGGAGGAGACTTGAGGTGAGGGAGAGAGGGAGGTGACTGAAAAGAGGGGAGAGAGGGAGGTGACTGAGGTGAGAGGGAGCAAGACTGGAGGTGAGGGAGAGAGGAGGACTGGAGGTGTGGGGAGGGAGAGGAGACTGGAGGGAGAGGGGAGGAGACTGAGGTGAGGGAGAGAGGAGGTGACTGAGGTGTGAGGGAGAGAGGGAGGAGACGGAGGTGCAAGAGGGAGAGAGGAGGAGACTGAGGTGTGAGGGGAGAGAGGGAGGAGACTGAGGTGTGAGGGGAGAGGGAGGTGACTGAGGGAGGGGAGAAGAGGGAGGAGACTGAGGTGTGAGGAGAGGAGAAGACGGAGGTGGAGGGAGAGAGGAGGGACTGAGGGAGGGAGAGAGGAGACTGAGGTGTGAAGGAGAGAGGGAGGACAGGAGGAGGGAGAGAGGAGGAGACTGGAGGTGTGAGGGGAGAGAGGGAGGTGACTGAGGGAGGGAGGAGGAGGAGACTGAGGTGTGAGGGGAGAGAGGGAGGAGACTGAGGTGAGGGGAGAGGGGAGGAGACTGAGGTGTGAGGGAGAGAGAGGGACTGAGAGGTGTGAGGGAGGAGAGGAGGAGACGAGGTGTGAGGGGAGAGAGGGAGGTGGGGAGGTGTGAGGGAGAGAGGGAGGTGACTGAGGTGTGAGGGAGAGAGGGAGGAGACTGAGGTGAGGGAGAGAGGGAGGAGACTGAGGTGTGAGGGAGAGAGGGAGGAGAATGAGGTGGGGGGAGAGAGGGAGGACTGAGTGTAAGAAGGGAAGGAGGAGAGGGAGAGAGAGAGGAGACTGAGGTGTGAGGGGAGAGAGGGAGGAGACTGAGGTGTGAGGGAGAGAGGAGACTGAGGTGAGGGGAGAGGGGAGGTGACTGAGGTGAGGGAGAGAGGGAGGTGACTGAGGTGAGGGAGAGAGGGAGGTGACTGAGGTGTGAGGGAGAGAGGAGGTGACTGAGGTGTGAGGGAGAGAGGGAGGAGACTGAGGTGTGAGGAGAGAGGGAGGACGAGGTATGAGGGAGAGAGGGAGGAGAATGAGGTGGAGGGAGAGAGGGAGAGACTGAGGTGTGAGGGGAAAGGGAGGGAGACTGAGGTGTGAGGGAGAGAGGAGGAGACTGAGGTGTGAGGGAGAGGGGGGAGGAGACTGAGGTGTGAGGGAGAGAGGGAGGAGACTGAGGGTAGGGAGAGGAGAGAGGAGGTGAGGGAGGAGACTGAGGTGTGAGGGAGAGAGGGAGGAGAATGAGGTGTGAGGGGAGAGGGGGAGGACTGAGGTGTGGGGACAGAGAGGAGATGGAGGGAAGAGAATGAGGTGAGGGGAGAGGAGGAGACTGGGAAAGAGGGAGAGAGGAGGTGAATGAGGAGAGGGAGAGAGGGAGGTGACTGAGGTGAGGGAGAGGGGAGGAGACTGAGGTGAGGGAGAGGGGAGAGACTGAGGTGAGGGGAGAGAGGAGGAGACTGAGGGTGAGGAGAGAGGGAGGAGACTGGAGGTGGGGAGAGGGAGAGAGACTGAGGTGTGAGGGAGAGAGAGGAGACTCGAGGTGTGAGAGGGGAGGGGGGAGGAGATGAGGTGAGGGGAGAGAGAGGAGGAGACAGAGGTGTGAGGGAGAGAGGGAGGAGAATGAGGTGAGGGGAGAGAGGGAGGAGACTGAGGTGGGAGAGAGAGAGAGGGAGGAGACTGAGGTGTGAGGGAGAGAGGGAGAAGACCGAAGTGTAAGGGAGAGAGGAGGAGCAGAGGGAGAGGGAGAGGGGAGGAGACGAGGTGAGGGGAGAGGGGAGGAGACTGAGGAGGAGGAGAGAGGGAGGAGACTGAGGGAGGGAGAGAGGGAGGAGACTGAGGTGAGGGAGAGAGGGAGAGACTGAGGTGGAGGAGAGAGAGGGAGGGAGACCGAGGTGTGGAGGGAGAGAGAGGGGAGGAGACTGAGCAGAGAGAGGGAGGAGACTGAGGTGTGAGGGAGAGAGGAGGAGACTGGAGGTGTGAGGGAGAGAGGAGGTGACTGAGGTGTGAGGGAGAGAGGGGAGGAGACGAGAGAAGGAGAGACGGGAGGAGACTGAGGAGGGAGAGGGGAGGAGACCAAGGTGAGAGGGAGAGAGGAGAGACGAGGGGAGGGAGAGAGGGAGCAGAGAATGAGGAGGAGGGAGAGGGGATGAGAATGAGGGTGAGGGAGAGGGAGAGACTGAGGGAGAGGGGGGAGAGGGAGGAGACTGAGGTGGGGGAGAGGGGGGGAGACTGAGGTGAGAGGGAGAGGGGGGAGGAGACTGAGGTGTGAGGGAGAGAGGGGAGGAGACTGGAGGTGGAGGGAGAGAGGGAGGAGACTGAGGAATGAGGGGAGAGGGAGGAGACTGAGGTGTGAGGGAGAGGAGGGAGAAGACTGAGGTGGGAGGAAAAGAGGGAGGAGACTGAGGTATGAGGGAGAGAGGGAGGAGACTGAGGTGTGAGGAGAAAGGGAGAAGACTGAGGTGAGGAAGAGAGGGAGGAGACTGAGGTGTGAGGGGAGAGGGAGGAGACTGAGGTGGAGGAGAGAGAAGAGAGACTGAGGTGTGAGAGGGAGAGGGGGGAGAGACTGAGGTGTGAGGGAGAGGGGAGGAGACTGAGGTGTGAGGGGAGAGGGAGGAGAATGAGGTGAGGGAGAAGGGGGAGGAGAACGAGGAAGGAGGGAGAGGGAGGAGACTGAGTGTGTGAGGGGAGAGAGGGAGAAGACTGAGGTGAGGAGACGTAGAGGAGAGGAGACTGAGGGTGAGGAGAGGGGAGGAGACTGAGGTGTGAGGGAGAGAGGAGGAGACTGAGGTGAGGGAGAGAGGGAGGAGAATGAGGTATGAGGGGAGAGAGGGAGGAGACTGAGGAGAGGGAGAGGGAGAAGACTGAGGGGTGGGAGGGAGAGAGGGAGGAGACTGAGGGGTGAGAGGAGAGGGAAGAGACTGAGGGAGGGAGAGGGGAGGAGACTGAGGTGGAGGAGAGAGGGAGAGACTGAGGTGAGAGGGAGAGAGGGGAGGAAGACTGAGGGAGGGAGAGAGGGAGGAGAATGAGGTGGAGGGGAGAGAGGAGGAGACTCAGGGGGGAGAGGGGAGGAGACTGAGGGGAGGGAGAGAGGGAGGGACTGAGGTGAGGGGAGAGGAGAGAGAGACTGAGATGTGAGGGAAGGAGGAGACGAGGGAAGGAGAGGAGAGACTGAGGAGGGAGAGAGAAGACCGAGGAGGAGAGAGAGGGAGGTGACCGAGGTGTGAGGGAGAGAGGAGGAGACTGGAGGTGAGGGAGAGAGGAGGAGACCGAGGTGAGGGAGAGGAGGAGACTGGAGGTGTGAGGGGAGAGAGGGAGAAGACTGAGGTGGGAGGAAGAGAGAGAGAGACGAGGTGTGAGGGAGAGAGAGACGAGGGGAGGAAGAGAGGAGAGGGAGACTGAGGTGAGGGAGAGAGAGAGACTGAGGTGAGGAAGAGAGGGAGAAGAGACTGAGGTGGGGGAGGGGAGAGGGAGGAGAATGAGGTGAGGGGAGAGGGGAGGAGACGATGTGTGGGGAGGAAGAGAGGAGAGAGAGACGGGAGGGGGAGGGGAGA